TGTGTGTGTGTGTGTGTGTGTGTGTGTGTGTGTCCCCTTGAGTGAAACACAAACACACACGTCCGGCCCGCTGGCCGCTCTCTCTGGCCCCGTGGCCTGTTCTGCCTCTGCTCGCCCTTCCCACACTCAGACTTGCTCTCCATCCGCCAGGCTGCCCTGGCTCCCCCGCTGCTCTTCCGCCCCGTCTGCTTTGTCTCCTGCCCCGCACGCATCTGCCCATCCTCCCCCTCTCTATCCCTCTCCACTTCCTGTATCCCGCACCGTGTGCCCCCCCCATCGCCCTGTTGCTCTGACCCCTCCTCTTTCCTCCAGTCTCCCTCCGTTTCTTTGCCTCCCCACCAGAGCTTCCCTCTCTCTCCGCGCGACGTGACTGTCAGCACAAGCTGTGGGGCCTCTGCCAGCAAGCCAGGTCAGGGTCTGCTGGAGATACAGGCAACGCTGCTGTGCTCACACACAGTCACAGTGTAGATACACACTGTCAGCCATGCCTGGGGTACCCGCCCTTCTATGTCATCTGACACTTTCTCGGTGACACACCTGCGGCCACTTGTCCGGTTCGCTCAGGATCGTCCACGTGTGACCTGGGCTGCTGAGGGAGTCCGGCCTCTAAGCTGTGGGTCACTTGCCAGTGCCCCCACGCACCTTGGGCCTAGGTCCTGACTGGTGTAGCGCAGGAAGCATTGGGTGGGTGAGAGCCGTGTTTGGCGGGGGAGTGGTTTCAGCTGGTGCTCCTCTCACAGTCTGTTTACGACAGACTGTGCCAATAGTCTCATTGAAAATTCTTTGCTATGCGGCACGCCCAAATCAGGCCAGACCGACAGAGCATTAATAGAGTCCCCCCCCCTTTGTGTTCCATTACTTCCTTAGCCATTTGTGTTCAGTGACTAAAATACCTGAAAGAGCTGCTCATTCAGACAAAGGGTCTGTAACCCATGACTTCCTTAATAGCTACATTGCCTCTGAATTCAGTGTACAATGCCGTATAGAGCATCTGCTAGTCTGGCTGTAGTGATGATCCAGGTGGCAAAGTAATATATACCGGTGCTGTGTCGTTTGCCAGTGTTCCAGGCTGTTATACAATATGTACCAGTGCTGTTTCATGTGCCAGTGTTCCAGGCTGTTATACAATATGTACCAGTGCTGTTTCATGTGCCAGTGTTCCAGGCAGTGATGTTATATATACCTGTACCGAATCCTGTGCCAATGTTTCAGTTTGTGATGTAATATGTACCAGTGCAGTGCTGTGTACCAGTGTTCCAGACTGTTATACAATATGTATCATTGCTGTGCTGTGTACCAGTGTTCCAAGCTCTGATGTAATATGTACAAGTGCAGTGCCATGTGTAAATATTCCCAGTTGTGATGTAATATGTATGGGTGCAGTGCCGTGTGCCAGTGTTCCAGGCTGTGATGTAATATGTCCCAGTGTATGACAATGTCTCTTTCTCTTCTGTATTCCAGGCTGTACTCCAGACTTGCCGGCAGCTGGAGCTGGAGATTCGGCCGCTCTTCTTGGTTCCCGACACCAATGGCTTCATTGACCACCTGGCTGGCCTGCAAAGTCTGCTGGCCTGCGGCCTCTACATCCTGGTGGTGCCACTCATCGGTCAGCCGCAGGGCCCCCCTCCTCCTACTCCCTCCCACTTGTCATTTCTCTCATCCCTTGTTTGAAAACAGCTCACAGAAATGTTTTCCTCTTTACCGTTCTCTCGGAGATCTACACGCCTCCTGTCCCACGTTAACCCCTCTCCCCCAGCCACCCGTGTCGTATCGTTATCTGTCTCCTGCCATCTTGCCGCCACATTTCTTTGACGGCTGTAGCGGTCGTGCCCAGTGACAGTGACGCCTCACACTGAACTCCCACTGGCTTTTGAACCTGCCCCTGCCTACCTTTCTCAGTGATCACGGAGCTGGACGGCCTGGCGCGGGGCCAGGAGCACCGGGGTGGTGGTAGGGCTGTGCCCGGGGAGCATGCCCGCGCGCTGCAGGAGAGGGCCAAAGCCGCGGTCAGCTTCTTGGAGCGGGGGTTTGAGGCGAGGGAGCCCTGCCTGAGGGCGATGACCAGCCGCGGAAACCAGCTGGAGTCCATCGCCTTCCGCAGCGAGGACACCTCCGGCCAGCAGGTATGGGGGTCGTGGCTACTCTATGGCGCCGAAATCCAGCCAGACAAAACCATCAACGCACACCTGTCTTCCCACAGGGAAACAACGATGACCTTATCCTGTCCTGCTGCCTTCACTACTGCAAAGACAAGGCCAAGGACTTCATGCCCACGCAGCGAGGTGACAACACGCCTGCCGTGGCCCCCGACCTGCACTTCTCTGCTGTCTGTACCTCACATAAGGGTTTCCATGGTTACTGGTATGGGAGGGGTGAGGCCGAGCGAGCCCAAGTAGAACAGGATGGGCGGTCGTGTTGGGGCAGGTACCCAAATGTGTGAAACACGTCGCAGGAAGTGGCACCTTGCAGGCGCACCGAGGCTGGTGTGCAGGGTGTGTGCTGGTGTGCAGGGTGTGTGCTGGTGTGCAGGGCGCTGCCTCAAAGCTACCTCGCGTGACAGAGCCGCCAATGACATCACCGTGTTTCTCAGGACAAGCCCGTGTCCAGTCACACCTCTTCACTTCTACTTCCTGTCTGATTTATGCTCCCCGACCCCCCACAGATGAGCCTGTCCGCCTCCACCGTGAGGTGGTTCTGCTGACGGATGACCGCAACCTGCGAGTCAAGGCCCTGACCCGCAACGTGCCGGTGCGAGACATCCCTGCCTTCCTCAGGTGGGCCAAAGTGGGCTGAAGCGAACCGGCGGCAGGGGGAGCCGATGACGGTGCAGCCACGTGCCAGGGAGCCGTGTCGAGGAAGGAGGAAAACAAACGGCCTCTGAGGAGGGGGGACGTCCACCTCGGCGGGGCGCCGAGGGAAGCGCCCCCGCCCGTCCTTTTTAAAGATCACTAAAGCTTTTTTTACTTTTGTTTTTCTTTGGTTTTTTCTCCTTTCTGCCCCTCTGAGGAGCCTCTGCCTGCTGCTCGCCACAGTGAGGGTGAGCGTGCACATGGGCACGTGTGCAGGGTTTCAGGACAGAGCCATGGGCAGGGAGACTAAAAGTAGGGTCCCTTTTGGGCTGTGCACCAATTTCGGGGTGACGGGGGGGGGAGGGGGGGCAGGGGTGGGCAGAGGAGGCGGGGCCCTGGTGGGAGCTGCCAGGCGCCTACTGGGTTTCTGCACAGCAGGACTGGTTCGGGCTGAGTCAGGGAGACGATGGTATGGGTCTGGCTCTGAGAAAGACCTCTCCCCATGATAGTCACCGGGGTGACGGAGAAAGCCGGAGAGAGGAGAGGGACAAAGCAGGCCCCAATCTCCTAGATACAGATTTCCATTTTGGCAGCTTTCAACAGCTTTGTTTTCAGTTCTGCATTGGCTCTGTGGTTTGACAGCTTTTCATTTTTATTTTCACCATGTATATATAGTATAACTTTAATGCTGAGTGACGTTGTGCTTTTAGGCCTGTGATGCGCAATGATGATGAGTCTGTGTGATTTATGTGGGACTGGTGATGAACAGGCAGTGGCGCTCACAGAGGCCGTATGCTGGGCTCCATATTGGCGCTCTGGAGTCATCCTTCAGTTTGACAGGGTTCACACACAGGTGACAGGAGGTGACTGGAAGCTGGAGACACGCAGCCACACCCACACGGAGCTGCATGCATGTTGAAAACATGCGCTAGAGCGAGAATCACATGCATGGAAAATGCTTGGGTGTGAATCTGTGTACTGTGGCTAAGTGTTTGTGGGCCAGCTATTGAGATATCAAACTCACATGTATGTGATGGAAAAGCAACTGAATACCTTCGTTCACACAGGAAGCTTACATAGATATATGTGAGTGTGTGTTTCTGTCTGTCTGTGAGCGTGCTACAGAGCGAGGACGAGTGTGTCTGTGCCCTGGAATGGCGCAGTGCCAGTACCCAGCTGGTGCTCCCTGACATTACCAAGTAAGCCTCAGCATTTGACACTGAACACCTTTGGCATTTCTTGCAAGACTTGAGGGCCAGCATCTGCGTCTCTGGTGAGGCCTGGGCCTCGGAGGGTACTCTCACACGCCCAGTATCTGCCTGTCCTCTTCCTTCCTATCAGCCCTGGTGTGAGAAACGGCACAAGTGACAGTCCCACCACTTGGCACGTGTCATGCGTCAAGCCAGTCCCCCTGTGTCTCACCTTGGACCCTCACGGTCAATGCGGTCAGCATGGGAGCCACCTGTGCTCAGCCTGTGTGGCCTGTGACACAGCATGACGAGCACTTGGCCTGCTGTGCACTATGGGGTGACGCCCTAGGGCTGAGTCTGTCACTGTGTACTTTCGCCCTTTTACAGAGTGCTTTAGAAGAGTAGTTTTATTTTTAATTTGGGTTTTATTGCTCTTACTAAAACTTTTTAAATACTTTCTTGTTGCTGTTTTTTTATGAGCTGTTGCTGTAACTTTTGATTTTTGTTTCCACTCATTACTTCTGTTCTGTGTCTTACCGGTACCCGTGTGATGTTGTGTATTCATTTGCAGATTGCATCCCACAGTGATGTCACGTACCGCGCGTCAAAGCTGCATGTGTAATTGAGCGTGTTAGTTTCATCATGGTATGCGACCTCCTACGTGACATTGTGTCATCTCGCCTCCGAACGCGATCTGAACACCTTCTGGGGATTAAATGTCGGATGTGAAGCTCTGATGACAGGCCCAGAGGTGGTTGCGCTTGTACAGAGACAGTGACACACTGTCTTGCCTGCACAGAGATAGCAACGCGGCGTTCCATCTGCGCAGAGACGGCAACACACTGTCCCACCTGCGCAGGGACAGCAATGTAGTGTCCTGCCTGTGCAGGGACAATGACACACTGTCCCACCTGCGCAAGGGACAGCGACACGGGGTCCTGCAAGTGCGATCAAAGTTCCTGTCGCATGAAGCTGGAGGTCTGTGTTTTAACCTTCTGTAAATTTTCTGCAGTTCAGTGCGCTGTATTAGTCATTGTGCTTGAGTTTGTGCACGTGTGGGGGGGACGCAGAGGCTGTGTGGTGTACAGTGACAGGAAAATGTCACCATGTGACAGGGCTTGACAAGGCACACTCTGCATGTTCGCTCTTTACCCTTAATAAACGGCTGCTTTGAAGACGAACCTCTCCTGTCTGTTTTTTTTCCCCTTTCTCTTCCACCGTACTCATTCCAAAGCTGGCCACTGTGCCTGGGAGCGCAGCAGAGCCCAGTAAGGTCTGTGAGTGCCTGCAGTGAAGGCTGTCCGTCCCCAGGACGCCGTGTGTGGCACAGCCCAGCATCCCCCCCCCCCCCCCCCCCCCCCCTGCCCGTTCAGCTGTTTGCCGTGTTCTGAGCCCCATCTAAACGAGTGGGGCGGCACTGGAACGCAATGATGGGCGAGGCCCCGGACATCTACGGCAGGCCAGCTGTCACCGCCGTACCACTCACAGGTCTGTCCTCCAACTTTCTCCACTCTAACAAATTTCACTGTTAAAAAGTGTCAAAGTGCTGTCTTAGGTTAAAAGTAGGAGATGCACAGAGCTTACGGATTTACAGATCCGTATGTGGCTGGGTGTTCAGGCCGTGTGGTCATCAATGGCTGCAGAGTTAGACTGACCTTTTTGTGTCTCCTGTGTCCCACTCAGACCCTTAGCTGTGGTGACAGTGTCACTGTGGGGCAGACCAAGGGCTTTGGTCTCAAAAAGCAGGATTAAAGAATCGTGGAACAGTTAAATGGCCACTTTGGATCCCTTAGCATCTGTCTCTGACTGGGATGAGCTCTGAACTGTAAAATGATGGTGGCGAGTTGCTAAAGCGCTACTGATGAGGTAAAATGAAAATTTAAATGAGAAATAGATTTATAATTTCTGTAGTTCATTTTATTGCCAAATTGACTTGGAATATAGAAACTGACAATCGTGTAACACGTTCACTGTGGCCTTTATAACAAAAAAGCCCTTCAGCATTATTCAATATGACATAGAAATCAGAATAACCCACTGTTGAAATTTCTACAAAAATTGAAATATAAAACATTTCGACATGCAATAAATACATTCATTTCATTAAAGCAAAAAAGACCATATGAACACAATGTAATGTAGAATACTGCTTGCTTTCATGTGTATTGCATTTTAAGTATTTTTTAAACTAAAAAAACAAGAGGAAGTGATGTTTAAACTTAATGGTTTTTATAAAAGTGAGCAGAAGGTTTGACCTTAATCAGAATGCAACACTGACAGCTTATTTAGTGAGCCCCACCTCGAAAGTTTGTGCTTATCAGGTGATCAGTATCTCCTCACTGCCCACCCCAGAGTCTGTGCTCCCCTCCCTCCTGTCCATACACTTTTGGCCATTCTGTCTCCGTCTGTCCCTACGTCCATCCTTCATGTTCAGCTTCACAAACGCATTTTCAGTCGTTCCCTTCTGCCTGCCTCTGTCCTTTCTCCTTTCAATTCATCATAGAATTTTTTTTTTTGCATCTTTAAAATTTAAGCTTTCAAGTCCCCTCTGTCCCGTAGTTTTTTCTGGAAAAGTGACGATGCCCTGTGCGCTGGACCATCTCGTCCTGGGGATATTTTGACATTTTGCCGTGGAAGTTCGGGGAATTCGATCGGGGCGTTAAAGAAGAGAGAGCGGTTGTTCACATAAACATTTTGACAACTGTCTTCTTCAGGATGAGAAACAGCTGGAGGGGACCTCGAAACGGGAGGTGGGGTTAGTGGGCCGGCTGGGGAGGGAGTAGAGATTGTGGGCCAGAGTGAGTGCGGGGGTGGGGGGGTCCCAGGGAGGAAGCGGACTGCAGAGTGAGGATTAGGTGCAAGCGCTGGCTAGCGGTGTGAATGCCACAGTTTGTGCCCCCACCCTCCCAGAATGGTGTGGTTTTCCAATCGATGCATCTGGATGTAATATAGAGTCCACCCCCACCCCCTCCTTTGCTGGACAATGGGAAAGCAACACACCCAGGTGCGTTTTGGTGGAAAACGGGGGCTCTGACTGAGACCACACATCCCATGCCACTACACCCCCCCATGCTCAGTCACAGTGCCAGACTGACACCCTTTGGGGATGCCTGGCCTGCCATTCACTTTGCTTGCAGATGGAGGCTCCGCCCACCTACCACAAGCCCCACATTGCTGTGTGGGCTGCCCTTCCCCACCCCTCAGAGTGCATCTGTCAGTTTGATTTTGCATCAGCGCCCCGCAGTCTCCCACACCAGTATGACTCTGGCCTGGGTTTATATGCCCTTATGGGGCTGCAGTGGGGTCACCAGTGGGCAGCTTCGGAGACACGGCTGCGCTTTCTGCAGCAGGAGAGGAAGAGGAAGGAAAGCAGGCGAGTAAAAGACAGGCAGTGTGCTTTTCCTCAGCCCAACGGAGGCCCCAGGGGTCAGGCGGCCCCTCTATTGTTAGACGATGCCTCTGGTCCGCCCAGTGACTCCCTCCATAATGACCCCCTCCCGCCCGAATTTGGAGGAGGAACACACAGAACTTCCTGCCCTGAGATTTGACCGAGCCAATCTGCAAACCCACTAACCCGCTCCCACACACACACACTGCACCCACACATCCCAGAAGTCTTGGCTAACCCAAACCCTAACCTAACCCAGAACTCTGCTTTTCCTCGCCCCCCCCCCGAGCAGCTTGTGCAGCAGCCATGGAAATGTTAGCTCCCTGTTTTTCTCCCAGTGTTTCGTCTGACGGGGGGGGGCGGCGTGAGGCCAGGAGAAGGTGGGGGGCAGGGCAGCCGTCCCGCCAGCCTCTTCTCCCCCCCTCACTCAGACATGCCTTCAGCTTGCTCCACGTCTCCTGCTGCTTCTCTGACTTTGCCCCCACGGACACCTATGGTGGCTCTGACTGCCGCGCAGGCCCCCTCCTCCATAACGAAGACCCCCGCTGGCTTGCACTCTGTGTCTCTGTCATGCGCGGGCCCTTGACTCTGGCCAAGCCTGTCAGCACGCAGGTTATCTTACGCAGGCGCCCGCTGCTAACATCACACACACGGGGGGTTGGGGGGGCATCGGAACATTCGCTCTGGTCATCCTGGACAGCTAACCCTCCCCTCCTCCCCATCTCTGTGAAGTTCAAAACCTGTCTGCTAACCGTACGCCGCCGCTAATAGCAACGTCTCACTCTGCAGCTGTCGCGGCCCGCTAGTCGTCTGTGCGCTCGTCCGAATTTGTTTGCAAGCAGCTAGTCCCCGAATTTTGGTCCTTTTTTTGGTATTGTCATACATCCCTGTCCTAGCCCTATCTGTCTTTCTGTTTCCATTTTTAAAACATGCATCTGTTGTAAGGACGCCTCCCCGCCCATAGGTCATGTAAAGGTCATGCCCCAACCTACCCCCCCTTTCATCTGTGTTTAAGTTTTACAAAATTAATTCAGTGGTTGGTTGTTTCTTTGGCAAAGTCGAACTGGCAGATTACATGTTGTTCTTTAACAAACAAGAACATATACACAATACTACAGCTAAGATATTACTGTGCAATTCTGTCCACGGACAGACAGGTAAATACCTCAGGCTCAACACTGGTATGATGGTAAGGTACAAAACAGAGGTTATCGAAAAGTACTTTATAAAGCATTTAAGGGGAAATATAAGGGATTGTTTTGGAGGACCTCGATTGTCTTAGAAATTGCATAGGTCTGATAAAAGAGTGTCACAGAAGTGTAAATACTGCATTAAAGCTAAACAATCAGATAAAATCATTAGCAACTCTTCAAACACACATTTTAAACATAATAATCACAAAAGAAATATCCACAGGATTCAGTCAGGATGGGTACACAGTTGCTTCCTTTGACACAAGCACAATAAAATTCCCTACATGCCCAGCCTGGCTGGCGGATGTTTGCGGAAGTCTGGGCTGATGGCTGCTTGTTCCCTGGCATGGTTTTGGAAGCACTGGAATCACTGGGAAGTCTGGAGATCTATCTGGTCCCTGTTGATTAATCGGGGGGTGGGGCATGACTGGTCAATGTGGTCTCTGGAAAAGCCTCGTGATTGAACAGATGTGAGAGACAGACAGCCATCATCCCACGTGTAAGCAGAAGGGGTGTCTGTGCGTGTGTATGTCTGCATGTGTGTGTGTCTGTCTGTCTCTGTATATCTGTATGTGTGTGTGTGTTTATGTCTGTGTCTGTCTGTGTTTCTGTCTGTCTGTGTTTCTGTCTGTCTGTGTCTGTGTGTGTGTGTGTTTCTGTCTGTCTGTGTCTGTCTGTCTATTTCTGTCTGTCTCTCTGTATGTGTGTGTTTCTGTCTCTTTGTCTGTGTGTGTTTCTGTCTGTGTGTGTTTCTGTCTGTGTGTGTTTCTGTCTGTCTGTCTGTGTGTGTCTGTCTGTCTGTGTCTGTATGTGTGTGTTTCTGTCTGTCTGTCTGTGTGTGTGTCTGTCTGTGTCTGTATGTGTGTGTTTCTGTCTGTCTGTCTGTCTGTGTTGCCATGGAGCTTCATGTCCCTGATACTCCACCTTGAGCCAGGCTCCCCATTCACTTCGCCTTGGCTCGAATAAAGAAGTGTTTTGTCTGGAGGGAAGGAAAAGGAAAAAAGCCTTGATTCACTGATATACCACAGAAATCGCAAGTCGTCAAAGGTAGATGTGGTACACGCGTGTTCTCCCTCCCGCCAGGGCAGCTGCTACAGTACATGTGTCACAGGCATGCAGAGCTTCTCGCTTCACATTCGCCCATAAGGCTGGATTGGTCTCTAGTGGTTAGACAGTCTGATTTAAGACAAGCCTTCAGCAGCTCCTGCTTCTCTTGCGATGAGGTACAGTGTCAGAGGTCCTGATTGCTGAGTTCAGGGCATCGCTGAAGTTATCCATAACCGTGAAGGGCTCCACCCTAGGCAGACCTAGTCGGGACCATTAACCTGCTCACCAGCCGTTAAGTGCTGCCTGTGTGGTTCATGGCAAAGCCACGCGATTGGGCGGTGCCCCGGAGGTCAACCATAAGGCTCCTTGGTGACGCACCACCACGTCATAGCTATTAATACATCAGTAAGCACACGCTAAGCGCAGAAACCCCTGCACTGGTCATGAAGCTGAAGGGTGTCCATGTGGTTTACAGCGCAGGGTTTGGGGAGAGGGGTGTTGTCATGTTGTGAGTGCCTACTGGTATTTAATTACACGTGTGTTGGGAAGAATAGACAGAGGAGGGTCACGTGTGTGTTGGGGAGAATAGACAGAGGATGGTCGAGTGTGTGTGTTGGGGAGAATAGACGGAGGAGGGTCGCGTGTGTGTTGGGGAGAATAGACGGAGGAGGGTCGCGTGTGTGTGTTGGGGAGAATAGACGGAGGAGGGTCGCGTGTGTGTGTTGGGGAGAATAGACGGAGGAGGGTCGCGTTTGTGTGTGTGTTGGGGAGAATAGACGGAGGATGGTCGAGTGTGTGTGTTGGGGAGAATAGACGGAGGAGGGTCGCGTGTGTGTGTGTGTGTTGGGGAGAATAGATGGAGGAGGGTCGCGTGTGTGTTGGGGAGAATAGACGGAGGAGGGTCGCGTGTGTGTGTGTGTGTTGGGGAGAATAGATGGAGGAGGGTCGCGTGTGTGTTGGNCGCGTGTGTGTTGGGGAGAATAGACGGAGGAGGGTCGCGTTTGTGTGTGTGTTGGGGAGAATGGACGGAGGATGGTCGAGTGTGTGTGTTGGGGAGAACAGACGGAGGATGGTCGAGTGTGTGTGTTGGGGAGAATAGACGGAGGATGGTCGTGGGTGTGTGTTGCGTTTCGAGCCAAAGCAGCACGTGGGAGGCATTTGGCCCGTGAAATGAGGACGGAGGCCAGCAGTGGACACAAGCCGCTGGGCAGGGTGTGGGATTTCACGGGGAATTAGCGCTGCTCTGGGCCAGCTGTGCTGTCCAACTAGCAGGCCCTCAAAGACGGGGGAGGGGGGGCACCGATTAGCACCCACAGTCAGAAGCCCTGCCTGTATCAGCACTGCACAGAACAGTTTGGGCCCTGTCTCTGCCTTATGGCATTTTGAGGAAGCCCACCCCAGTGCAGCGCCCCCTAAAGGCAGATTCAGCTCTCTGTGTGGCCCTCACACTGACCTCAGGGGTAAAGCATCCCGCTTGGCAAAGGCTTTCATGAAGGATTGCTACTCTTCCTACTGACGGTACAAAGGCACGTGGGCATAACTGTATTCAATAGTGACAATAAATAGCCCTTAGCATCTCATGCTAATGCCGTGGAGACCTATAGGAGGAATGAGTGGGTGCTAATTACTGCCCTTACATTCAAGCCTCTGCTCCACAAACATGCCCAGTCTGGAAGGAAACGCAGAGGAGGAAGGCCACTTGAACGAACGGCTGGGGTGAGCCATCTCCAGCAGGGTCCAAAGGCTGGGCCGGAAACCGCAGAGCTGCAGAGCCACTTTCACAGGGAATATCTGACAATCCATCAGGTTTACATCTGCTGCAGACTCCCATCGGCTGCCATTATTCCCCCATGTTCAGGTTCCTCCTTCCCTCAGCAAAGAAGCCATGAATTTCTCTGCCTTTTTCCGTCCTTTCATAATACTTGCATTGCTGCATACCCAGGGCACGGCTGCCATGCATATATGCTATTTATACCCATGGTCTTTGGATTCTGAACGTTAAATAGAAAAAAAAAATCTATTCGGTTTTGGCTCGACAGCTAAAATAGTACTTTTTAAAATCAAACACTGTATTGTGTGAATCCTTAGGTAAAAAAAAAAGAATATAAATTAGCACAATATCCCTTTAAAAGGCACTTTTTTAGAGGTCTGCATGGCTTGGTTGTGTGTTTTACATTTAGGCCTCTTAAGTCTTGCGGGCTGTGTGGTGACCCAGAGGTCAGAATTCATCGCCACGGCAACTCTGGCCTCATGGTGCAGCGGGCTTTAGCTGGGGGAGTAGCGGTCAATGGTGCGCAGATCGGGGGCCAGCTGCTGCGGCTGCAGGGACAGCGTCTGGCCCAGGGCGTCCATCTTGTCGTGGGTAAGCCCCAGGTGTTGGGCGGCCAGCTTGGACAGCGGGAAGAGGCCCTCCATGGCCTCTGGCTTCAGGCCCAGCGGGAAGAGGCCGTCGCCGAAGTCCACCTTCAGCTTGCCGTCAGCGGCGCCGCCCATGCCCACGCCCACGCCGTGCATCTTCATGTGGCTGATGAGATTGCGCTGCTGGGCAAACTTGCCGCCGCACACCTGGCACTCGTAGGGCTTCTCGCCGGAGTGGATGCGCATGTGCTCCGTCAGGCGGTACTGCCGCGTGAAGCGCATGCCGCAGGCGTCGCAGGCGAACGGCTTGAGGCCCAGGTGGCTGCGCATGTGGCGCGTCATGGTGCCGCGCTGCGTGAACTTCTTCCCACAGATGCTGCAGGGGTACGGCCGCGTCAGCCAGTGCGTCTTCTCGTGCTGCCGCAGCGTCGCCGGGTCCTTGTACGACTTCTCGCAGGAGGAGCAGCGGTACGGCCGCATGGTCTCCCCCAGAGCGGGCAGGCTCGAGCAGCTCTTGCCCTCTGGGTATGGCAGACACCCACTGCCATTGTTGCTGTTGATGTTTCCTCCTCCGCCGCTGCCGTTGCTGCTGGCCGGCTCTCCACTCAGATCCTCCTCATTGTGCGTCTCCACGTGGGCGTTGAGCTGCTCGGAGCTGGGGAAGCCCTTGTCACACGGGATGCACACATACAGGTTGTCCCCGAAGCTCTCGGGCTCATATGCTGGGTGGAAGCGCTCCAGGACCCCGGGGGGAGATGGGTGGCCCTCACTGCTGCCTGACTCCTCGCTGGCTGTGCCACTCTTATCATCGACGCCTAGCTTGTCCTCGACGGTCTTGCGGCGGTTTCGGAGCTCCGCCCCCCCGCTGGAGTCTTCCTCTTCGTCGTCACCCTCCTCCTCATCCTCGACCCCGAAAACCGGAGGCTCACGCTTCACCCAGCTTTCGAGAGTGGTAGGGCAGAAGTAGGACTCGCTGCCGCGTGAGAGGGAGCGCTGCAGAGTGGGTAGGTGGGGGCCGAATGGCTGGCTGAGGTGGGGGTAGGAGGGTGACGCCAGGTCGCGCAGGTCACCCGTGGTGTCGCCCGGCTCCAACCTGATCTGGAAGGCTGGGTCTCCATTTGTGGGGTAGTCATCCTCGTTGATGCCACTGGGGCTGTTATGCCCACTTAGCTCGCCCCCCCGGGCATCATCGCGCCGCAGGGCTGAGTGAGGGATGTGTGCAGCTACCTGCTGGGCTTGAGGGGTGGGGCTCTTCTTGGAAAGGTCCAAGCCATAGTCGGGGGAGCAGCCCCTCTCTGGCCGGGGGGGACGCAGACCCAAGGGCAGCGCCAGAACTGAAGGTGGGCCCGAGTAGGCCAGGGAGCCCTGAGAGGTAGCAGGGGCATACAGCTCCCCCACATGAGTGGCCAGTGGGTCCCCTGGTGCTGCTCGTGAGGGGTGGCTGCCAGCCACGCCCCCGGGGATGCAGGCCTGGATGACTGGGGTGGCGGAGCGGAAGCGCGCCTCTCGGCTGGGGCCCATCTTCTCATAGGGCAGCAGGTCGGGTCGCGGGTGGTACTTGCCTGTCCGCTTCAGCCTCTTTTTGCATAGTGCCACCAAGTCCAGCAGCTGCAGGTAGCTAGCTGCAGCCAGCACCGCCGCTAGGCTGGGCTCTGGGCCCGCCCCTGGTCCTGGCTCGGCCTCCCCCAGCCGGCCCGTGTAGATGTAGTCCAGGATGACCCGGAAGACCCCCGGGCTCACCATCTCGTGGTCCAGGTTGATGAGGTTGTCGTGGACGACCAGGGACTTCAGGTAGAGGCTGCTGGCGGCCAGGATGTTCTTGTGGGCGCGGAAGAGGGCGTTCTGCACCACGATGATGACGTCGCAGAGGAAGCCTTTGGTGCGCTGCGTGTTGAGCTGCAGGAGGAGGTGTCTAGCATGACTGGGGGCTTCCATGGCATCCAGCATCGTCTTCAAACCTCCACCTGCAGCAGGCGAATAACCATTGGTGAGTCATGCCACCATACGCACAAGACAAACCTGTCCATTCCCGCAAGGTCGCTTTCAACCTGCTGTTTCTGCAGAGGCCTGGTAGACTATAGCATTCCAGCCTCATACACAAACAGCACTTTAAGTGTTACAGGATTTCAAACGGCTTGTAAGTGAGCAAAAGGATGGCAGGCATAAGTCCTAATAGTGTGTTTCCTGGAACGATTAAGAAACTATCGATGTGATTGTCTGCATAAGGGCAAAAGCTCAGTTTTACATTGAAGAGAATAGATTACTGCTGATTCGTACGGCAGTAATCCGCCGTGTTGTCGTTAACATGCCCACACGCCCAGTGTGCTGAACGGCACGCGAAAAGGACACCAGTAGAATCGCACGCATTTAAAGGGAAGATGAAGCATGGGCGTTCCGCTATAGTATGAACGACCCAGACGCAAAAAAACGACACAGCTGAAATCACGTTTGACATTCGGCTCTTTCGGGTTCACATGTAGGGAGAATTTATGAATGTACCAAATGTAAATCAAACCAGGGACATTCTACGCATTTTCAGAGCGCGAATAAGTCGGGGGTTTTATTGGTTAGAAGGACTAGGTAGCCCGTCTAAAAACTATTTATAGGTAAATTGTGTATATTCACTTCTCGTAAACAAGATTTACATTTTAAACAGTGGTGGCAGCATGTCCAGACAATAATTTACTGCTACACACTATACAACACGAAGTACTTCCGTAATACGCCTTGAAATCTAAGGTTTGCTTAACGTTGTCAAACGCACAAATCGGCTAAATAATGAAGCAACAGGCAGCATAGTGCTAAAGGAACAGGACTTGCAACCAAAAGATTTATGGGGAGGCTGTACTACTACTGTGCAGCCTGGGTAACCAGATATATATGTAAAAATCTGCACGCGCAAAAGGTGCTTTGGATAAAAGCGATTACTTAAATAACTAAAATAAAAATCAAATTCCGTTCAGTAATCCTCCATATGTCAGGCAATCCTGGTTTGTTTTGCATAGATTTTATATTCTACATGTCCCTAAGAAAGACCTGCGATTGGTCCGCGTGTAACAAAGCGGAATGTCGCGAGCTGCCTACTGCCAAGGTCTGCACTGTCCTCGGTCCTGTCAAGGTGCTTTTCCCTTTTTTGGGGCGGGTTTAATAGTCCGTGCAAACGATGCATGATTTGTGTTAGCAGTAACAGCACGCGGGGCAATGGCCAGTTATGGGGACTCATATTTAATTTTATGTTCAAACACGTCCAGAGCATGCCCGTCTGCAAATATCCAGATACACGCCGGCAAACACCTAGTGAACGCTGCATGAAGCAACACACCCACCTGCGCAGTAAATCAAGCAGTATGCGGCGCAGGAGCTTGTCTATAAATCAAAACTCATCTTCAGCGTGTGCAATTGAACAGCAAGGAGCTCTAAAAGAGGCTTTAGGTTATCGGATGGTATTCGTGTCGTTAAATTGTTTGCTTGTTTATACCCCATAGTCTTGTTATAGGGAAAGGCCAGTAATAAGGCTGGTTTGATGCCACTGTGATCCGCCTTGAACCGCACTGTAACAAATTCCCAAACTGACTGGTAAAAACTGGGGGAACGCCTCGGTCCCAGTTGCAGCATCTAGGTGTATGGATCACGGTTAAGCTTGACTTCAATCTGAACTTAACTTTCGTTTAAAAATACAGGCCCCAAAAATGAACTGTGGATTCAAGGACATAAATACGAAAAAAGACAGGAGAATTAAACACGGCTCAGAAAGAACAGCGACATATTAAATATGCTAACTGAACTGTTACTGAGAAACCCTCGTCTGGTGCAGAAACCATACATGGGGTCCTCGCTTCCAAACGACCAGAAAAATGTAACTGCGGCATGGCTGGTCACAGATTGAATTCTCCTACCCAGCCGGAGAATGAGAGGAGAAGGGGGCGACATTTAGGCCACTTGGGATTAAACTCCCATATGGGAAAAAATGTCACCGTCATAAAGATTTTTGCGGATGGTTTTTGTGTCGTCCCCCGGCATATGCACAGGTGTTTGGAAAAGGCGGTTTTACAGCGTGTCCCGGCTGCAGTGAGATGCAGGTGGAGTGACCGAACACCTGGATTAAGCACAAATAATATAAAAGATTATAGACGCTGGCTCGGTTTGGATTTCATGGTTTTTTCCACTTCCTAAGAGACTTCCCGCGTCGGTATGGTTTTAACATTCATAGAGATTCGTGTAATTAAGTGAACGTTAAATATAGAATTTTTAATGAATTGATGATGCGGTACGTTTTATGTAGAAATACGCGTTAATGTGAAAATACTTTGTAACTAAAAAAAATTGATAATTATGTACGACCTTAAAAAGTGTTTAATTCCACCTCGAAGCGTAAAATACATAATGTCGAGAAAGTAAAAATGAGAATCAGGACAGTGACATATAACGAGGCTCAACGAGTCTGTCAGTGGGGAAGGAACGTGTTAGCGTCACTCTTATCCTTCTCCTTTAGGGCTGTCGCAGTTCTTTAATCTCTTCTGCTCAAGTTTCATCTCAGCATTTATTGGGTGTGTTGACAGTTGGCGGAAATTAAAGCATCTTTACATCTTTGCACCTGTCCAATCGATTGCCTTTACGTTACACTATTTGCACAATACATGGACTATTTTTTTTTCGAAATAGTAATTTCGCCCTGCTTGCTTGGCTGTTTGACTGCTGCGCATGGTGCTGCATGCATCTCTCTCCAAATGTAAAGTAACTGAGAAGGAAAATCATCTTATTTAAACTCCTTTGTTTGAGCATCATACGTGGGCCACACAAGTTAGGCCTACATCTTCCTGGGTGTGACTGCGACTTTGCATGACGCCTGATAAAATCGGTTCTACGTATATCTTGAAACTTAAGATAAATATACATTTACATAAACACTTTGTGTGACACCGACTACTTCAGCGTATTTCAAACAGAGCGCTTCACGATGGTTACGAATTTTTACATCTTAAATTTATTACATCGTGTGCCGTGACATGCTGACTGATCTCACAAAACTGACGGCGGATGGGTGACTTGTACTGGGCAAGTTACTGGTTTATAGTTGTTTAGCTGGTTTAGAATTAAGTACGCTTTACACATCATTAAGGAAATGTTAACACACACACACACTCACTCATATAAACGTTTTAAGATAATCTTGGGCCAAACGCTAATTACTTCATGCTAATCCCATATACCGGTCTGATATTAAGATGCAAACATTGTTTCATTTCATTAGCCTCTTTGAAGTTTTATTAGATACGCACTGGTTCTGTACATAAAAACGATGCAACGTGTAAATAATCTGACGCATAACAGTGCGCTTAAACTTGGAGCAGCTCACTGACAAAATAGTTAAGACAACAGGGTATCTTTTACAACTGATAACAAGCCACATAATCCCTCAGTAAAAGCCGTTTAATTGCAAAATGTAAACACGTATATACATTTATTTTAGAAATACAAAGACATAAACTTCTCTCCGTTAAGTTGCCGAATAATTTTGAAGGAGGTACACGCTGTGTCTGCGCATACGCATTTGCTATATTTGGTATCAAAAAGGTTTCTTTTGAGACAGTGCGGCAGTCGTATTTGAGACAGTCTGGTGCTCGGTATCCCTGTGTTTTGTCTGCGTTGTCATTTCGCAGGTTTAGGGGTGACGGAGGTTTTACAAAGTGGGGTCTGCATTAAGTAAAGTACTTCCTTCAGACTTCCTCCAGTCTGTCCTATTGACCGACCTCAGTTTATCCCGTCGTGAATGGAATGTGAGATACACAGCATAAACAGTAAATGCATAAATGCATGGTTTCCTTTTTGCTCTTGATATAAGTAGCCTAAATATTACAGTAAATATTAATGTTTTTTAAGGTTACTATTTACTGAGGAGGTTTTGACGGTTCCTTAACCATAAAAATGTTATGAAAAATAATATGTAGTATTTAAAAATATTTTAAAATACCTACAATTGTTTGCCTATCATACAATGTAAGTGTCTAATTTGTAAAGAGGAATTTCAGACCCCAACAAAACGGCCGAGTGCATAATGAAGAACGCGTGTGGACGCAAATTTAACAAATATTTATCTTGAGTCTATAAACATCGCTGTTGTGATTTTATTTAGGGGCGTACCCCAGCCATATGTTTCATAGACGGAAAACTGAGAAACTTGCCCCGCGTGTACATCCGTGCTGGCCGCGTCGCTGTCTTTTAAGTAGCCCTACATTGACTACTTTTGTGAATGGGATATAGAAACGCAGCTGAGCATGAAACCCTTTTTAATGAAAACCACTCGAGCTTCTAAAAAGGAGGGAGAAAGGCCTCGTGTGTATTACAAGTCTGGGCGATTAGCGGAATTTTCGCACTGTATCTAAGTTGAACAGAAATGCCAGCCGACCGTTTTTCTTTCCCTCACGTTGTAAACAAACTTTTTAGTTCAGGGTAAAATTAGTTGTTACAAAATGCGACAAATGTATTCTTTGGGTCTGTAAAATACGCGGGATTGACCAGCGTTCAATCCCGTGTGTGTATGGTTATGTTATTCTGCTAGTATCCGAAACGACACTTTTCCGGCCGCATTCGATGCTATATCTCTAAACCGCACACAGTCGAACGGCGAGCAGCAGCGATCCCCTCTCCATCTTTTCACATCTGTACGCCCAGATTTCCATTCATAAATCCGACGGTGAGGAATAGTGCACAGAAGTCATCGCCTCAGATAGAACCTCCAGCTGTCCAAAGACGGCCCTAATTCACATTATTGCTGTCATATGTTCCCACCTGTTAAGTCCCTAATACTCTTAACACGGCTTCAAGCACTGGGCTCACGTAAATTTATCGTAATGTACGTAACAATGCTGCCGTTTTATTGCTGAGGATATTTCGTATTAACTCGTCCCTATGGCTAGGATGTCTTTGCCTGAGGCACAACTTAGGCATCAATCGGTTATTTGGCAAGGTATAGCGTTTATTTTCAGAACTTTACCTGCATGTCACAAAAAATATTTTATTATAAGACTTTCATGCACAACCGATGCTACACGATATAATGACACTTCCGACCGCAGATCTGCCCTGACCTTCGGACAATGACTGACAGCAGCTGTAGTAGCAAAACTGCCCTTTAATCTCCTCGGAAAAAAGGTTTATAAAATCGTGAAATTATTTGGGTAGAAATGCTTATTATCATCATTTGTTTTGTCAACTAGGCCTAAATAAGTGCAACATCGAAACGTATTCTTCTGCGCTGCGCAGAAGTGTTATGGAGTATTCCAGATACATAGGTGGTATGCAGTAGGCCCACTGTATGAAGCAGTCCATCTTTTATGTTAAGTCAAGGAGTTTTTTTGTTATTGCGGTTTATGCCGAAACTCAGCTTTCCCCGTCCTTGCGATCAGGCCAAGTCAAATGTCAAACCAAATAAAAGTTACCTGCATGCTGACAGCGTCAATCTGCCTTTTCACATTGTTTGGTATTACGTGGTATTCAGCATGAAACACTCTTGTACATCAAAGTCCACAAACAGCTTTGTGGTGATTTAACATTCCAATACATTAACTTACAATTTGAATTAAAAGTTTAGATTTGGTTTCCCCTAACTACTCGCGAAGCCTTGCAGTTTAACATGTAGGCTATACTTCAGTCGGTTTAGGCTTAACGAAGAGATCGTGATTCATCAGTTTATGCGTTGCGTAAAATAAAAAAAAATCGCCGGCAACACGCGTTTAATCGCGATGAGCAGACGGCCGCTTGATTACACCCGAAGGTGCCGCGAAGAGCTTATGTTTAGGTCGACAGAGCACATCAATCACTCCAGCTTCGGGGACAGAGTCCGCACGGTACCGTGGTCCCGACATCCTGCAGGATGTTATCTATCTGCTGCTTTAAGCCCCAATAGCCGAATCACTGCCCGCTAGCAGCCTATTTATTGACAGCATAAATCAAATATGTTAACTTACCTTAGTGGAGCTTCTGCGGAATAGTCCAGTTATGTTTCACTTTATCACTCTAACGTGACATAGCCTATTTATTTATAATTTGGATTTGATTGACATACAGAAAGTTTATTTTTGCTTAAATTGAGTTCTCTTAAGGCAGATTGTACGTATTTATACGAAATTTCATGCAGGAAAACAAATGTTCAGTCAGGAAATCTAATGCCATCTAACTTAAGGACACCGACAAGATATATTTTTGAATAATATTAGACACAGGCTTCGGTATAAACATAAACATACTTGTACGCTCTTATAAATCCACAAAATGTCGTTAAAAACTACGACACACTTAAAATATCGTCTGAATATCTAACCCAAAGCACTGAAACCAAAAGAGCAGCCGCTGAATATGTGCATTAACACGTTACCTGGATGCCCGAACTCTTCTACCATCCGTTCTAAGTCGCCCTTAATGATCATCTCAACAGTCTACTGGAGTCATTTCTGACGTTTCAACTTTGAACTGCCAGCCTCCAAAATCCATGCCAGTTTTCCAAGCACTACTGCCAACTCTTTTTATTATTAATTGCTATGAATTTCTTTTTACTCGCGCTCCCTCCTCCCCTTCTTGTCCCTCCTCTCTCTTTCTTCTCTCTCTCTCTCGCGCTCTCTCACAATCCCCTCACTTTCTTTCTCACCACCTCCTATAAAATACGTGCTTAGTGCGGCATCAGTTTCCTTCTATTTTTTATTTTAGTAATTTCCTCAACTATTTTTGTATCGAAGGTATAACGCGCTTGGATATGATAATGGGGTTTCTATGCCTCGTAAGTATTTTAGCGCCCTGTGTGATGTCAGTCTATAATAAAACTAAAAGGTAAAACCGAGGGCAGGAACTCGATGTGACCCCAACTTGAACTTCGCAACACATCGTGGCTTCGTCTTAAAGAGACAGGCCTCGTATTGTATATCACAGGGATGCAAGAGGGGCTTTAATTGTGGAGATGTAGAGAATTTTTTTTTTTTTGCGAAAAAAGTTAAGCTACCCCAAAATACATGTATTAATTTGTTTCGCTGTTTCTTTTGAAGTGTGACATTTTAAAGAACAATGCCGGGGGAACTTTAACGCGTCATTGCAAATTAAATACACATTTAAATCTACGACTCATTGCTGTTATGTGTGTATAACTTTAGAAGCAAACTAACACCACTGCGGTCTGGTCAGCCTCTTGTGTGCAACATATCCTATTAAATGTACAGTTCAAGCTTGTAAAACTGACTTAATCTGTCTCCATTTTATCTTTCACTTATAATTCTAGCACAGAAGTACATTGACAAATAAGGTACACGAATTCAAGTAAGTGATGGAACGTCGGCACTTGGACCTTTTAGATACTGTTTGTCTACTAAGAAATATATTTATGTAGGTAATTCAGTACGCAAATAGAATATTTGTCACTGACCGTCATAACATACAACAAGACTATAACATACGTTCAGGTCAAAACCGAATAGACCGCAGATCCGGCAAAATCTCGTTTTCAGTGGACCCGCACATTCACAGCAAACCGACAAGGGACAGTTATAAATGTTAGTTGATAGTGAAGCATCACAGAATATTTAATCATAATGTCCACAATCCCGATCAGTTCGAGCGACAGCTGTCAATGCTCTGGAAAGGGTGACGCTTGAAGTGCCTGTGTATCCCCTGAAAATATATCCGTCGGGCATTTAGTATTGATACACCTACCGCTGAACATATACAGGCTTGCTGTCGAGATTTTTTGCACTTTTGTCAAAACGGCAAACACTAAATACCGTATACATAAAATGTAATCGATCTATTTACTGATTCACAATCACCTTTTTCATTGAACTGTTTTGATCACTTAAGGTGCAATAAAAAAATTAGGATGTGGCTTAGTTGTAAGTTACTTGAAACATTATCCATTGATCAATTTATTTTTTCTTCTTTTGTTTCGTTTGACATTTTATTGTTTTAATGTTAGGTAGAGTTCACGACGGTTTGTATGAGAGGCGGAAACGACATAATATCTGTCTCATTCAGCCATTTTCATTATGGCAGGACTTCTGGAAGGAATTATTTTTCCTTCTGCTATAACGCAAATAAGACAATATATATAAATGATAAAATGTATTTCTGCTGTTCGTTGTGGTGTTTTAACATAGTACCTACTGAGAAGTTCACTGAATTTAGAATTAATGAAATCCATGCAAATACTCGCTTTAATTGTTCTAAACACAGTTTATCCTATAGGCACGTGTCCTGTCAACCGTTTATGCCAGATGATGGAAAGGCCAGCTGCTGGTCCCAGTTTTCTCATCATTAAATTCTTGGCAAACATCTTAATTTCCTAAAAGAGAGTTAAAAAAAGTACAAGGTATGCCATAAACTCTTCAAGAAGTAAATGCTCTAAATACCCTGTTATTCAAGCCTCTCTGTTTTTCATACGAAATAAATGTGCTTATATTTATAAAAAACGGACAATCTGAAAAAAGGATAATGGAATAACAGCATTACTGCATTAGCAGCAAAAACAACCGCCTGCTCTAAATTATGTTTCTGTCTCTCTAGTTTTGAATTTCACATTGATTCTTAATTCTGCGTACAACGTCAAAGTACGAAAATGTTTTAACTGAAAAGAAATGAATCCAAGTTGTCCCTCAGTGCAAGTGTGAAGTAGGAGGTTTCTGCTATAGTATCAAGAAGGGTTAGGAGACTGCTTCCCCAGGCGCTAAAATCCCGTGTAAACGAGCCAGATGACATACCCAATAGTCTCAAAAATAAATAAATTATTATGGGCTATCACAGCGCATGTTCAATAGCAGCCCCGCGACCCGTTCCAAGTGCACACGGACGCTGTGGAAATATTCACTTACGACATCTCATACGCTTCCCAAATTCGCGAACCCACCTCGGATTCATGTCTGGTGTATTGGCCGTATTTGGTTGTTCCTCCTTAGGATTCCCCTTTGCTGCCTTTTCTCTTTCTTGTAAAATTCTCTTCACGTTGCTGGTTGTACTTGCGCATTTTCTCCTTTCTACTCCCCCTTAGAGTACTCTCTCCCTCCCACACACAAATTGTTTTCCTCACGTGCAATGAGAGCCTAAGTTAAGCACCTCTTTTGATTTTTGTTTGGATAAAATTGGACGGCTCGTCCTGTTGAACACGACGACAGCGACACCAAGCGTTTAAATCGGTTATCGAGCGCAACCCCACTAAGCTAGAACACTTAACTTCATAGCTCATATACTTACATGGAATGTGTGTTTTTCAGCTTTATTTTTAATTTGACTCTAATCCATAGCAGAATGTCATAGAAAAAATACCACTTGCACAATATGAGTCAGGAGTTTGTGTGACTATGTGAGTCGCTGCAGACAAGTTGGACTCTGCAGTGTGTTTCCAGTGTAGCGTACAATTCCAGAGTCCTGGCAGCCCTCAAAAAACCAGGCTTGGAAGCTTTCATACCATTTCTGAGTTACAATGAAAGTCCAAGCCATTTAGACACTTGGAGCAGCCATGTCTCTATGGTGGAGTAAAGGAGGTTTTAAGTGTGACCGGAAGCTGGTTTGTTCCAAAGGACGCTGTAACTACCTTTCTACAGACTATTTAAAAATTATTGCATAGCCTACATAAATATATTGTTTGTGTGTTTATTTTTTTCTCCACCAATTGTGTGCATTTAGCTTTACTAAAATCAGAATCAACGTTTATTAAAATTTTTATGTCATATGGACATTTATATACATAAACAAACGATTGGTTTATAGTATAACTCCGGTATATGTTGATTTCTGGCCATCACAAACAAAGAAATCTAACTGTCTCTAGTTGGATTTGACCTTCACTCAGGCACACACTCAAAACTGACTATGACTTTTTGAGACAGACAGGTAGAATCACAAACCGAGAGGTTTATGCCGAATGACATCTTTTCCATCAGTATCTTTTTCCCCGGATTGGCTATCACAGCTCTCAAGTTTTTGTGCGAAGTTGTTTGACTGACGGATGTTTTTCACTTCTGCTTTCCCACATTGCGATCTGCAGACGCGGCCCAGGCGAGGAGAGGTGCTGGATGACCGGTGCGGTGGGTAAGCGTCTCGTCACGGTGAGAGAGGGTACTTAAGATGCTCCAAAGAGTTACCCCCGAGCAGCAGGAATGAGGAAACGTACTATATCTTCCTGCGCACGTGGTGCGGAGACGCGCGCCCTGGCGTCCTCGCGGCTCCGCTGAAACTGCACCGCTCGCGCTTTTTGCTTGACAGCGAGGCCGCGTGAGAGTCTCGCACTTCTGCTCGGTTTCGGAATGAGCGAGTTGCGCGCGCGGGAAAGCTGCCAGTGAGTGTGGTGCGGAGTGAGCCCAGGCAAGTAACGGACTGACTGGCTCCTTGCATGTGAAACGCTGTCGCTCTTTATCCGAATTGTCGTGAAGAAATATGCTCAGAGTGTTTTAATCGCCTTACAAATTTACTTGAGCAAAAAATCACCTGAGATGAGGTAAAATATGCGTCGATGGGCAAAACTATTTATATGCTCTTCTGTCCCAACCAGATATCGGTTAAATTCATAAATACCTCAAGGTTATCCTCTTTGAGTAAGCAATGTATTAAGATTTGTAAGTATCTCCTGGGGCGTTCAAGGGACTTTAACTTGCGTTAGAGGGTGTTATGACAAGTGTATCTGTAAAGAGGGAGACGTGAACTCTTAATGAACTGACAGCAGCAGCGGAGCCCCGGCAGGTCGCCTTTGGCGGTGATTGAATTAACGGGCATGGGGCTGAGCTGATCTCCGAAGCAGGAGGCCAGGTGGGACTTCCCTCAGAGTGGGAGACAAGGCCCCCGGTAGGCTGGTCTGTGTGAGCGTGTGCATGTGAGTGCACTGGGTGCTTAGCTTGGGCCCAGCTTCCAGAGATTGACTGGGTGTATGTTGTTTGGCTGCAGTTGTACTGTAGTGTAAGTGAGAGGGTGTTTGTGGGAGGGGGGGTAAGGTCAGTAGGGGTGAGAGAGCAGGTGAGGGTCAAAGAGAGGCATCTGGCCCTCAGCGTGTCTCATTTTAATTAGTGCTCCATGTGACTAATAACATTCCAATCAACTTGTTACCGCTCCATTATCACCTGGCAGCGAGCCTGAAATCAAGACAGAGCAGAGCAGGACCTGGGGCCCTGGTCCACATCCCACCATGGGTCTCCCGGGCCCTAATGAGCCCCACGCTACCCTACACTCAGCCTGATTACACTCAAACCCACTCCATCTCTTTCTCCCTCTGCCTCTCCTTTTCGCTTCCTTACTCTCTTCCCATCGAAATCTGACGCAAGGTCCTTGTTTCCCTCTCCAGGAATCACTCCACGTTTGGGCCATGTGTTCACAGCAGCGGGAGGACAAACACTGGTGTATACTCGTCTCTCTTTAACCCAGTCTAACCAGCTGCTTTTTGAGGCAGGGGAACAAGCTGAGCTTTTTTGTTTTAATTTCGGTGCCGTTCCGCTGCTTCCTGCTACACTGAGCTATTAGACGTTATGGTCTGTGGACCATTGCAATGGGGGGAGATCTGAACGAGAGTCCTTGTTGATTGATTGCAGGGAAATATGTGTTTATTTGGGCTGGTTTTGGGTCATATTTCTGTGGCATGTAGAGGGTTTCTTTTTTTATGACATCAGGCCAGAAACGTAGCAGTACTCTCTGTCCATTCATGGGGATCCTGTCTTGTATGTCATGTGTGTTTTAATCAGATGTAGCTTTGAGGGTGAAACGCGAATGGAATCTGGTAAGGGTTAATTTCAGCTTCTGAATAAAATTCACTTTGAATTCAAATCACCCACCTGCTTTCTGGTTTCAAGGTGTGGATGGGTCAGGTGGTCCTTGTCACCTGGTAAACCATAAACCCAACGGTGGTACAGTGCAGTTTCACCATCCCATGCGGCTTGTTTCGGTGAGAGCAGTCAGAGCGTGGGCAGGTCATGGTTGATATCAGAAAGTTGATGGTTCAGATTTTAGAGAGGGACACTTCTGTTGTATATTCATTCTGCAGGAGGGTAAACGAAAGGGCAATGATAGAAATTACGCTTTGCTGAGGTAAGTAACCCCCCACCCACATTTCTGAGTGTTATTGTATATTACTCTCAGTATCTCTTTTACAAGTTACCGTTAGAAATTAGTAAGTTTGTTAAAAAAAATGTATGGATGGTGAGGAGGCCTGTAAATTTTATAATGATTTTTTGACTGTGTCCATCTCCATCTCGCATGGCACACATGGGAAGAGTGTCTTCCACATGCCCCCCCCCCCCACTTTCCGCCTCGTTTCTCACTAAAAACCATATGGCGTGTGACATCATGAGAGCAGGAAACAGGGAGAGAGAGAGAGGCTGGGCTGCCAGCTCTGAGTACAGTGATGTCAGCACATCGGCATTCTGGGAGTGAGGCCTGATGGGGGCTTTGTTTGGGGGTGGGGGGTTGTTGCAGGGTGTATGTGGTTGCATTTTCAAGATTTTACTCCCACCTGGATAATTAAGGGAGGAGAGGAGAGGGTGGGGGCAGAACGAGGCATGGCCTAACTGACGGACCGTGTGTGTGTATGTATGGGCTCAGCTTGTGCACTTTGTGTGACCTGCTTTCCTTTTGGGAAGTGTCCCTGTGCTGTAATGGCTATAGTGTGCATGTATTTTTAAATGTGTTTCTTAATGACTCTCCCAGATACGCCGCTGCTGTTGTTTGAATGTGCTCAGACGCACACCTGTTCCGCTGGGATAAAAAAAATCTCTGGATAAGTCCCATAGCATTGCTTTTGGCCAGCTTGTGAGTCGCTCCCCTCGGCCTGGTCCCCGGCCAGCCCGCCCACCCCCACCTTACCTGATCTCCTCACTCACTGAGTGACTCCCGCGTCATCCTGCTGCACTCTCACGGCCAGCCTCTGTTGGCGCCTCAAGCCTGCACACTGCTCTCCGTTGCTCCCCGTGCGCCGTATCAGCAGACGTGCATCCATACACTCTCTCACACACATGCACTGAAGCAGCCTCTTTTTTCCCCCCTGATTAATGGCAGAGCTGGGGTGGGTGCCAGGTCAGATCCCTGAGAGGGGAAGAAAGCTGCAGCTGTGGTGTTCACTGCCTGGTCTCCCTGCCCCTTCTCTCCCCCTTTCTGCCCCTCCTCAGTGACTCCTCCTGGGACACTCGCCTTGGCCGGAAGCCCAGGAACCAGGAAGTCAGAAGCAGGCTAAGAGGGAGAGAAAGGGGCGAGCGGAGAGAGGATGTGGAAACACAAGACCGAGCAATGGGAGGGGCCTGGTGGGTTGGTAAAACACTGGGCAGTGCTAAGGGCGAGATACGGACTGAGATGAAGGCAATATGGCACGGCTGGTTGGTGTAATCCAAGAAAAGGCTGTGAGGTTAGAATAAATGCAGGGGAGAGAAAAGTTGTGTCAACAGTACGATTGCTGTCTGTCTCTACTTACATTTCTGCTGACTGCCAATTGTGTGGACATTGTTAGGGTATGAAATAGTTTAGATGTTTTATAGTCTCTGAATGTGATGGAAAACCAGTCCAGTACAGAAAAGCATGTTTAGACTTCAGTTCTGCCTTGGCCCTTATTTATTTTACACAGTCGGCAGTTTTAGCTGCTACACATCAAGTCACACTGTGTGTAATTTGACTGACAGGCTTGTGCAGAAAGTGCATGTCCAGTGCTGAGTCTGGTTTTGACAACCCTGAAGCTGGTTGGGTTTAGTGAAATGGCTCAAGATTACGGGAGGCCCCGGAGCTAAATCTGTTTGACTGAAAGGATACTGGCTGCTTACCTCAGACACCAGGAAGCGTGCCGGTTAAGGAATCACTGTTGAACTTTTGTTTTTGTGAATATCAGATCAAGTCAGATTGCGGAGCATGCACTGGAACAGCTCGTTGCTGCACCCACTACATGACAAAACACCTCGGTATCCCAGCTAGCAACCCCCCAGACCGACACATGGTCCAGTCCCACCCTCCTGAAATGGCCCTCTATGCAGGTAATGTGCCTCATTCGGGGCTCCCTGAGCACCCGCTCATTTGACTCATTTCAGTAAGTCAAACCAGCGGTACCCAAGGGTTCTCTGAAGAGTCACAGTACCGAAGGAGTCCAGTCTTCGTCTCAGATCACTGGATAGCGTCCATGTCTCACAGCCATACAATAAGATATGGAGCACCAGGACTCTAACTTGGACCTTTGTTCTCTTACAAAGATATTGGCAGTGCCACACACCCATTTACCAGCAACCTCATGACCCTCCATGCTCTCCCAATCCGTCTACTGAATTCATAGGAAGAGTCACCAGAGACATGAATGTTGCTGCCGAGGTAAGTGAACCTGTCGATGTGGTCAGAATTCACAAACTGGGTGCTTCTTTAGAGCCTGCAATTCTGCAGGAGCCTCCAGCATCTGCTTATGAGGATGTGATCAATCTCCTTTGTGACCACCAGTATCGGAGTACCAAGTCCAAAGATGCAGCTCAGGGCCCTGGAACCAGGATCCAATGACCTGCAGGCCCTGACCAATCACACCACCAAAGCCCAAAGTTTCCCCTGCATGTTGGAGGACTGCTTGCAGTTTAATGTCATACTCAGAACTGACTGTATCCTGGGTAGATTATGAATATCTAGCCTAGTAAAATAATATTGATATTGAAACTACTAGCTGCCAATGTACATCATTATTTCATGCAGCTAAAATATCTCATTGTAAAAAGTAATGATTTTACAGTGAGCAGGTCATTTTTCCAAATAATTAAAAATTCCAAACAAGCAATTTAAGCTATTACACAGAAATACGTGTTCAGTTTTGTTGCTGCTGAAGTTAAAGTAGTAAAATTCATGGCATTACAAAATAATTTGGTGGTTAATCTGAGGTTCTGACAGCTGAAAGCAGCTTTGATCAGACAGCTAAGCTCAAATCCGTCTCTTCTTGCAGCGTGTGCCCCCCCAGCCCTGGAAATGTGACCACTTCGACTCCAGAACCTGACGTCCGAGGGGTTCATTAAGACCAAGATCCCGACATCCTGCTGGTTTATTACACCAGAGTTCTTGATGTCCTCCTTGCTTGGTGTCGACTCTCCTCTGCTGTATCAGGGCTGCCTTGTTTAGCCAGGCCACATGTGAGTGTTATTGGCTGCCCCTGAGTGTGTATGGTGAGTGTGTTATGTATGTCTGCTGACCTGCTCCTTTCCCTTCGCCCCAAAAGCCCGGAAAGCCTTTGCTGCATGTGTGCTGTGGTACGCTGACCTCTCCCTCACCCTGGTGCCACCCAGCCTCTGTAGAACCCAGGCGTGCATAGCCCTGCCAGAACCTCTGAGAGCCACATCTGCTACCCATAAACGCCTGCTGCTGCCACTCCCTGCCTCCCCTCCACCACACGCCATCACCTCCCTCTCGTTTTCATTCTTCCTTTTTCTCTGTCCCAATCTCTTCCTCTTTTTCCATCTCTGCAGCAGGACCAGTGCCCATTCTGTCAGCTCTCCTATCTTCTGCTCATTTTCTTTTCCTCTTCAACAAAGCCACCCTCCCTTCTGCCCCCCCCCCCACCGCTACCCCTGCTCCCAGACCCCCATTCCCATCCAACGGAAAAATCTCTCACCCATTATATTTACAGAGGGAGCCAGCTGAATGCGGTGGCAGAGAACTGGGAACCACAGAACATTCCTGATCCAAACGGGCCCTAGCCACCACCGTTAACCCCTAGCGGCTGGGATTAGGCGCTGCAGACACTCTGAAAGAGACGGTAACTTTTTATTTTTCCTCTTTTGAAACAGCTGCATATTTAACTGAAGCCATTCAGTTTTACCTGCCTCATGTCTAATAACCTTTCCAGAAATTGAATCATTAACCTTTGGGAATCCTTGTCCTTAACCACCACCCCACCTGCTGTCTGCTTTGAATATTACGATTTATTGTGTTTATGCCTCATTTATACAGCTGCATCTTCAGAGGCAATTCGCCTTGGGAGCCAGTCTCCTGGTGTCAAAGCCCCAACCCAGCGACGAGCAGCCCCTTAAGAATCAGACCGGGTAAGTGGTGATCATTTCACACTTAGAAGTTCACGTCCACTAGGCAAAAGTAAAAAATTATTTTGCCAAGACATGGGCCAAATATCATAGTTTGCCCCCCCCCCCCATACACAATAAAGCCATATTAGTGCTATTATTTTATCATTATTTTGACTTTTTCTCAGTAATCAGATTCGCAGAGTGAAAAAACATGCACACGCTGAACTTTTGATCCCGCAGTTTTTGGCTGGAGCCTGGGTCCCGAGCTCGTTCCTCAGACGGGCTGGCACGCGTCCGGATTGTGGTCCCAGCAGGATCCCCCCCCCCCCCATGAATCACGGAGCTGCGAGCATGCAGGAATGCCGCTGCACAATAAATATTACCATTCATAAATCATTTGTTTCTCAAAAAAACATACAAAGCATTGGATTTAAGGGGTGGGGGTGTAAAATTGTGAAGCCTCTGGGATCCAGAAAAGGGGAGGGGGCTCATATGTGTGTGTGGGTCATAAGAAAAGAGAACATGGGCCATAAGACTTTGTGTCTGCAGTGTCACTGTCCTGCCTGTACACTGCTCTAACGAACCATCTCCCACCCTCTTCCAGAAGGCTGTACAGCCGACGCAGGGGAAGGTTCCAGCGCTTGGTCCTAATCTCAAACATTCCCATTTTATACAGACAGTGTTACTGGGCGAGACGGGTATCATTCCACAGAACGAATGGATTCGAGTCAGTTGTTTTGGGTTCCCCTGCAGGTTTGAAGGAGCAGACAGGCACAGACCCACCAATACACTTCTGACACCTAGTGGTGAGCAGTGGAAGTTCTCCAAGAACAAGTGAGTAAACAGAGGAAATAAACAGAGCCTTTTCATAAACCTCCTGGACAAGCGGGTTTCAGTAAACAGGCTTTACTTAGTCCATGTATAATAAATCATGTGTGAGAGAGACACTTCCCACAAAATCCCACTCCTCCACGGCCAGTCTATTCCATGTCGGCTTCCGCCAGGTCGGCTGGCACCTCCTGCTGGACCCATGGTAGGGGTTGAGGCACATAGGGGTCGTAGGTCCACTTGGGAAAGACCCGCTTATACAGGTTCATCAAAACCGTGTCCTGGGATGGCAGCTGCTTGTCAAACACACATTTCATGTGTCCATGGGTGCCTGAAACACATGTGACAGGGGGGTTAGTGGATGGAGTGATGCAGCTGCAGCTCCTTCCCTTGCCACTAGGTGGAGTCACTTTCGTACCCAGGGCTTCTTTGATGTGTCCTCTTCTCCCCCACTTGGTTCGCATCTCCACTGGCTTGAACCACAGGATGTCCTCTGTAAATTGGGGGAAATCAAGCAGTGGACAGAAAATAAGTGCCCTGTGTCTTATTAAACAATCAGACCAGCTTCAGTCCTAGGGCTGACCGCTGTACTATCACTGTATGGGTACAATGGCAGAGTTTAACGTTCAGCATAATCACTGTTTCAGGGGCCTGTGTCTTGCTGAGCCGGATGACTTGTCAGATTCATGCTAGTCTGGGCAGAATGTTAGTGAAAGAAGAAAAAGTCAATTTAAACTGGGGTACCTTAAACACAACAACTTAACTGGCTAAGCAAGAAATCCACCCATTGTGATATAGGCCCCTGGTGCCGTAATCATCACTAGCAGTGCTATGAAATGTCACTGTCATTCTGTAACTGTGTTATGCCAGTGAGGACAGGGTGCTGCACACCTCTGTTGAAGAACATGTATCTGACAACCGCAGAGCGGCGGTTGATCTTGAAGGGGTGTCCACTCAGGACAATCCTCTTCAGAACCACTCTGTCGGGGGCACTAGCGAGGAGGTGTCCTGTTGCCACTAGATCCTGCATACCTGGGGAGGATGGGTGGCAACATAGCGACAGTTAGAGAAACAGCTGCGACTGGGCACTGTGGGACGGACGATGGTGGACACGGGATTCCAACCCTGAACATTCTGTTGATGAGATAGCACTCGCTCTCTCTCACCATTATCCCGCTCCTTGAAAACTAGGACCCCGGCAGTAGGGAAGGAGATGGGGGCGTACACCGACATCACGGTTGGGGCGTTGGGCCTCAGGAAACGCTCCATCTTGTGTTTGTCGGCTGTGGGCGGAGCCAGACAGAGGTTAATGATCGTACTTCCTTGCATGTACTGCAAAGTACCACCCACAGAAGGTTAAGGCAAGTTAAACGCATGAACACAGGGCCTATGCACACACACAGCCCTTGAAAAATTATTCTAAGCTACTTCCATAAGGATGCGATCTTAAATTCAGCCAGCAAAGGCCATTTCTGCAATCAGCAGCCATTTATGAAATTCTCTCTGTTCTCTCATACATCTCTAAATCTATATCATATTTAAATGCTTGAGATGTGTATCTGCTGGAGAGGAACTGCTGCTTCTCTGTTTTCATGCATATCTCAGCAGCACTGGCCAGTGTCCCCCAGAGCACACCGGAGTCGCTGCTGGTACCTGACGTGTGCTGGGAGAAGAGGGCAGAGGCCCGGAATCGCCGGAACCCGCACTGAAACACCAGCTGCTCCTTGGATTTGATGGGCAATGTGTTACTGGGATGCCTCTTCACCAGCATGTGCATTACCGACATCTGGAAGAGAGGGGGTTCGGGAGGGTCAAAGGTCATTGGGGGCTTTTATGACATGAACTATCATGTTAACAAGAAAACCATCCATATGTATATCTATGGGATGGTTTCAGCTTGGGCCTGAGAGGTTTACATTCATTCATTTAGCCAACATGGTGGACGTGTATGGCCTTTGTGTGTATCTGTGTGTGCGTGCGCACAGATACACACCTTCTGTTCGTGGGGGAGCAAGGAGACCAGGACCAGGGGCCTGCCGCCCTGGAAGCTCTCCATCACAGAAGCGGGGACCTCCTCAATGTGCAGGGTGACATACCAGCCCACCTGGAGAGGAGCCGTACAAGGTGAGCCTGCAGAGCCCTTTGCGCACACACACACACACACACACACACACACACACGCATACGCCCGCCCCTCACCATGGCCCCATCCTCCTCCTGTGCCGCCTCGGCCAGCACCCTTTGCCGCGTGCGCTCGAAGCTCTGGAACTGGAAGATGCGTGCATAGTCGGGGGGCAGGTTTTCCAGGGGGTCCCAGGGCGACGAGCGGAAGCTCTTCAGTCCCCGGTACCGCTGGAACCTGAGGGAGCATGGCGGGGTGGGGGGTCAGCACTGGGACAGACTGAGCGGCGTGCAGCAGTGTCCCGCAGCCACTGGTACCTGGAGCGGGCCGGTGTGTCCAGGGGCGTGTCCACCTCATCAGGGAACGCGTCGTCCGCACGCGCCTGCCGGTACCTCTGCAGCTCCTCCTGCTCTTGCTCCTCATTCACATGCTCGTCATAGTGCCGCTCGGCACTTGTGTGCATGCTTGAGCTTATTTCCTCTTCATCCTCCTCCTCCTCAGAACCGGAGGCGTGGCCCTGATCCACATGGTGGCACAGACAGCACAGAGTTCAGCTATGAACATTCCCCAAATTCATGGAAAAAGTCACATTTAATGACGTCCACAAAATGATCACAGCGATTTGAAATTACTCATCCTTAAAACATTAAAGTCGGGACCCATTTCTTCTGACATCCGGCCTTTGTTTAGATTACATAAGCATATACAGATAGTGTCATCTTCCAGTTGCCCTTAGGGTATCGACAGCTAGCTAACATGCTAACTATGCCATATGGCAGCTGATTAATTAATCAGGGCTTATGACAGTATAGAGCATTTTAATATGCATTTTTAACTGGTTTAGCAGTCATGTCGGTTGTGGGTCGACCATGTGTGTCTGACCGCGGAGGAACTGAGAAGGGCTCCGTGCCCGATCACGACGCGCAAAGGGTTCCGTGCCTGAAAACGATGTGTGGGAGCTGTGCTGCTTCAGCATATGAATTGGTACGGTCAGTGTTCACACCGCCACTCCAAGTCCCCTGCGGAGCCGCCAGCCGCCGCCCCACACGCAGCCCTCAGCAAAGCCACAGCTGCCATAATACAAACAGTCACCCCGCTCCATTGTTCCTGACCAGCATTCAGGCTTCCCCTTTCATGTGCCCCCCGACACCCAGACATCAAACACATATTAAGGCCGATTAAAGAAAACAAACCACACACAGCCTGCATATATGTAGACTGCACACCCCCCCCCCCCAAAGCTTCCAGGCAGCCGCACTGTAAATAAACGGCAGCTGCCTCGTCCCCAGCCAGGACAGGAAGCAGAATCCCAGGAATAGGAAGTGACAGGGGCTTCTCTGAGCACAGCAGGTCCCAAACACCATTGTTGTGGGGAACGGGGTGGCACTGAGGCCCAGCGGCCGCCAGAGAGGCAAACAAACAACGGCGTTGCTGTCGTGGGGCGTGCACAGACAGAGGGTCACGTATGCACCGTGCTGCCCCTGGTGCGCCAGGCTCTACGTACACCCACGCAGCGACATTCCATCCTCATGATCGCCCCCCTGCCCCCCCGCCCCCCCTCGCACACACACCCATCACCTCTGGCCCCTTCCATTTAACCCGCTTCCTTCGTGGCCCCAGCTGTTGCTGTGACAACCCCAAAAACACAGATCCCCCGGACGGCAAACAGGAGGAGCTGTGGAAGTGACACGGACTTGCCCCCGGCAGCCAGTATTCCTCAGCATGACCGCTCTAGTGTCTATAACGTCCCCCCCCCCCCCCCCACACACACACACGCACACGTCTGACCCCTACTTCCTTTGCGATTATCAATATTATTAATATTGAAATTTCCATTTTCATTACAGCTTGGCTCTGAAGGAAAGGCCTTCTACTTCCGAATTCTACAAAAACTTGTAGAAAGTTTATAAAGACTTTTATAACCATGGTCAAAATTCAACAGCTTCTGTTCTTGTACTTCTTTAGAGCTGATCCGGAATGGGGACTGACATCATTTCTGTACCTGAGACTCACTGCCATCCTTATCCTCCATCTCGTCATTCTCGTCCTCCATCATCTCGTCGTCCTCGCTGCCACTGCTTTCCTCAGCATCCTCGCTCTCCTCTCCATCATCCAAAATCCAGGTGGCCTGGTACTCTGATGTTCCCTTTGGCACTTTCATCACCCTTCTATTTTTTCTAGCCTCTTAAAGGGCATTAGGGTCAGAACATAGGAAAGATCAGTTTGAGAAATACCTAGAGTCTCCAGCTTCTGCTCCTACGTGTATCTTTCATTTAAGCTTTTTGTAAGGCTTTAACATTACAGATGCTCACCATAATTTTTCTAGAATCTTGCACTGCAAACTGGCCCTGATTACTCAGACGCACCCCCGCCTCTTTAAAATGCCACAGATCCAGAACCTTAAACTCATCCTTCACCTTCAGCCTCCAGCAGTTCCGAGTCAGTGGGCCAGGTTTGCTCCCCATCCATGGGGTCCACTTCAGCTTCAGCCTGCAGGCTTTCCCTGCAGGATGGGTCTGCTTTCATCAGAACCCGCACAGCAGCGCTGTCCTCAGCCTGGGTGACTTCATCCTGCAGAACAGACCCGGGCCCATGCGAGGGCCACTCGATCATTTATGCAGCTGGACATCAGCAGCAAATTAAGGTTAGGTGCCCTCTGAAGGGCACAACAGGATCACCCCCTTCTGGAAATGCTGCGAGTAGGATCCTTTGGTGTAGGAATTCATATCTGTAAACTCTACCAGCTTAATCTCAGCTTCTGACTGAATAGTAAAAATTGCACTCATTGGTGAATTTCACCAAAAATTGCAAGCAGTGATTTAATTGGACAATGAAGGAAATGACATTTGTTAAATCTCAAGGCAATTTAGTTTTAGCTCAAAAGGCTCACCAGCATCTCCACGTCCTCTCCTTTGCCTGGTTTTGGGGGTCGGGATGTTGACAGAAGGGGCAGGGGGTCAGGGGGGGCGTCAACCTGCCGAAGCTGAAAGTCTCCATGACCGACGATATGCACTATCCTGTCCACCTTCAGGGGGCGCCCTCGGACATAGCCGCTGACGTGCAGGGTGCCCAGGCCAGCAGCACCGGGTGTATAGGTCACCCTTTGGGCCAGCAGGTGTGCGCGGCGGGATCGGAAGCCCAGGCGCCGCTGACGCTGCATCGCCAAGTGCCTGAGCAGCAGTGCAGCATCTGGCCCAGAGTCCAGTGGGAAAATGCGTGCATCAGGGAAGCGGGCAGCGATGATCCGCGCCAGAGACCGCCTGGCCTCGACCCGCTTCTTCACTGGCAGCGCGGCCACACCCGTACATACCAGCACTAAGAAGAGAGGGAAAGCATAAAGGAGAGAGCAGGAGGGGGCAGCAGGATGGAGAGGGCACAGCAGACAAACCATTTAGTTATACTGCCCCCCGGTGGTCATTTAAATGTCAGCAAAGTGACAGGACTTTTGTTAAGTCTGCAATAAAACTGTAAATTTATGAAAAATTCTACTGATGGGGGGATGGGAGAGGAGACTGAGAAGTGTGTCTGGCTCTGGGGCGTGGCACACAGCTGGGCGGCTCACCGTGGCTGGGCAGGCCTTGTGGAAACAGGGTAGAGAGGCAGTACTCTCCGTATGTGTCCCAGCCCAGCGCGGAGTCCAGCACGAACACCAGGCTGTCGGCTACCTTCGCTACGTCCAGCAGGGCATGCAGGTCGGCTTGGGAGACAGACGAGTGCACATTTCAACAAGACTGCCAGGTAGTGCACATTATGCTGTTGTAAAACCTTCGTTTAAAACACAGCGGCTGTTTCTGAGTGATGTACGTATGGTCTGCACCAGCAAATGAGGGCACACTGGTAGGTGAGGTCTGTCACCAAAGAAGGGTGCAGGTTCCACTCCCACACTGAAGCACCAGTGAACAACCAGCTTTCCAGACAATAAAAACTAATCTTTTAAATGATATACAGCTGTGCAATGCATAACGATAATATTTTTCAGTGTGTGCGCCATGTTACCTGTGTCTGGCCTGATGAACATAAACCTCTGTTTGAAACGTGGCAGGACGAGGCCAAAGCTGTCACCAGCCGTCTCCACCCCCGCTTTCTTGTGAACCAGCCCCCCCACATCCTCTCCTTGGAGCAGCTTCATCACTGCCCTGGCATCAGCCTCCGCATGCAAGGCCACCACAGCCACCAGGTGGGGGGGTCCGTCCCTGCTGCCCAACTTCCGCTTCTCTGTCAGTACCTGAGGCCGGCAGCAGGGGGCAACATGCACACAGGTAAGATTAACAGTGCTGACAGACTCACTTAACAGAAAATATAATTCTTTATTACAAGAGTTTTTGGGTCAGACTGTGTGGCACCAGGGCCCTGTATCACGAAGCTGAATTCCTTGCTTAGCCAAATAACTAAGGATAAATAGCAGCTTTTCGATATCACAACGCTGGTTCTCTACTTAATGAGATACATGACCATGGTAACTCATACTATACAGCACAACTGATCCAGAGAAAGTTAGCTTTCAGGATCACAGATCTCAGACAGTTCTAGGACCAATCAAAGAGAAGGAGCTGAATTCCCAAACAGTGCTTGGACCAAAGAGTCGTCGTCGATATGTTACCTGATGTATGAAACAGGCTTTCCCAAACTCTCATAACAGCTTGTCCATGAGAATCCTGTGACTTTGGTAAAGTTAGTTGCATATTCGATATTCAGTCTTACGGCTGTCATATCTTTCAACAAGCAAGTCAGGCAGTTTTTAATCACAGACCATTGATGTCGCTACTAAAATACTGAACTAATATGTCATCATGAGTTGATAGCTCTTGCACACCCCTTGGTTTTCCAGATTACAAGTGAATTGTAAGTAACATTTTAATGTCACATGTACACTTCACAATCAATATCTGCCGCTCTCCTACAGTCATTGGTGTGGAATGGAGATGTATAGAAAATACATAATCTGATCATCAAGTGGTGTGCATTTTATCCCAAAATCCATTCCTAAAACCACAATTTACTGAACATGTCTACCTCAGTTTTATGGTCATTAGTCTGCTTATTGTACCCTTTCCGTTTTCAATGGGGTAGTTATAAATTAACATGGATGCCGCTATCCTACAAAATGTCAACAGCTTCGTTGTCTTCCCAGACCACATACTCTCCCTATGCCTGTGTGTATGTGATGGATGCAGGGATATTGAATGGGTTTTGAAGGGTGACAAGTTTAATAGGGCGGCGTGGTGGTTAGCACTGCTGCCTCACAGCAAGAAGGTCCTGGGTTCGGTCCCCGGGTCGGGTGTAGGACCTTTATGTGTGGAGTTTGCATGAGTTTTTGCCAGGGGCTCCGGTTTCCTCCCACAGTCCAAAACTGTGCATGATGGTTAATTGACAACTCTAAGTTGGACCTGTAAGTGTGTGAGTGTGGGTGTGTTAGCACTCATCCAGGGTTGGTTCCGGACTCCTCTAGCAACCGCTCGTTCGACACAAAGTCAAACCAGCGATACCCAAGGATTCTCCGAAGAGACACAGTACCGATGGAGTCCAGTCTTCATCTCAGGTCACTGGATAGCATCCATGTCTCACAGCCATATAGCAAGACAGGGAGCACCAGGACTCTAAAGACTTGGACCTTCGTCCTCTTGCAAAGATATCAGGAACGACACACATCCCTTTCCAGAGACCTCATGAGCCCCCATGCTCTTCCAATCTGTCTACTGACTTCATAGGAAGAGTCACGAGACATGAATGTCACTGCTGATGTAAGTAAAGCTTTCAACAAGGTTGACATTCTCCCCGCAGACAGACACACTACTGATGGCTGTGCCCAAGAAGTCATTAGAGACCAAGATCCAGGCATTTAACCAGGACACGCGCAATCCCAGACACTCAGACTCCTCGCTCAGTCTCTCGAGAGCCCCGAACCATAAAGCACGTTTGGAAATTAAGAAATTTCTTAAGGACCATCAAACTGTACGCATGAATTTTCGTTGTCAGGGATCTGCTGCAGCATGCCTTTTAGCTTTGGTGTTGGTCTTCGCCCTTATTGTACTTTTGTATCCTTAATATTTTACCACAATTCTATGCTCCACTGCAGCGAGCTATGCTTCGGCGTTTCGGGCTCACTGGACTCTTTCATGCGCACACGCTGGGTAAGTGTGGTTTCAGTACGAAAACCTGGCTTGACATAAATTGCTGATATTCCGCTTCGTGATACCGATTATCTCGGATTGTATTTGTTTCTTTTAGTCAAGGTGGAAGTTACCTTTGAAATCAGATTCGCGATACAGCCCCCAGATTATACAAATTACACACACAAGTGCGACACTATATTTCACCTGGTCTTTCTTGTTACGACGTAACTGGTTGGCTTTGTGTCTCCGGTCCATCTTCCGCTGTTCCTTCCTCTGCTTCTTGGTGAGGGCCATCACTGCCACTCGACCTGGAAAAACAAGTTTGTTCCGGGTCTCCAGCTGTTTTTGAGCAAACCCTTTTGCCTTCAGAGCTCAGCGCTCCGGAGCCCCTGCGGGCTTCAATCAGCGGTCCGAATAAGTGTAATAATGTTTCTAACATTATCGTGGTACGAATTATAATATAAAATGTATACTGAATACACAACAGCGACCTACACATTTTCCATACAGCAAAACGACACATAATTAAATTAATTTTCAAATCGTGCTTCAGTCAGCTTTACCAACAGAACAGTCATACAGATTCAGTTTTATGGTGCATGTCAGACTACATGGGTGACGGCTGCTTTCTGTAACACTGCTATTTAAACCGAAGATTGAGTGATTCGGTAACACGTGTTTTGAACGCACTGCTGTTTCCATAAATAAATGTAGTGCTGTCATATCCTTGTCCTCCAAACCTGCCAGTCAGACCCCACGCACCTTTGTTTTCCCTCTCGATTTCGCCCTTCGTGCGGTGCTTTCCATGCTTGTGCTGCTTGTTTTTCTGTTTGTAAATCCCTGCTCTGTGGGCCTGCTGCTGCTCCCCGTCGACAGCCATTTTTCCCCACGTGATAGAGTAATGACACGCCTCTGGGTGCGCATTACGTCATATTCATGTGCCAAAGGCAGTTTCTTGTTCTGTCCAACCTACCAACACCAGTTTGTGTTTTGCTGCCACCTGGCGATCCGGGGCGAAATTTACGCCTGGCTTTGAATGGAGAAGATGTTAATTCTTCGAAAATCCCAAACAGAGATAATGATGGCGTCTACCGCTCCAGTCCCGAATATTTCATCAAAAGATGTTGGCACTACTTGATGTTTTTTTTCATGGGCATGTATCATGTTTACGGAAGAGGATTAGGGCCACCATGAAAATATTATTTGAATTCTGACTATAATCTCAGAATTCTGACTTTTTTTCTAAACTCAGAATTCTGACTTTTTTTCTAAACTCAGAATTCTGACATTAAAATCAGAATTCAAATATTTTCATGGTGGCCCTAATCGTCTTCCGTACATGTTTTCATAGAAGATGTACAGATTTTTAGGCATTACGTTATGTCAAACGGTTAGAAAAATCGTGCCGTAAACGGAAAAAAAACATCTCCCGGGGGAGCATGCTCCTAAACAGCTAAGGTTTGGGTTAAGCTTCGAATGTTTACAGCGCCTGGCTCTGCCCCTGTCCCAAGTAGACATGTGGCATATAGATAGCAGTTGGCTGTTTCTCTTGTATGCCCTGCGATTGACTGCGCAGAGTGTACCACACTCTTCTGCCCTGCGCTGCCTGGGACAGGCACCCGTGTTCAGATTGAGATGGATTTTTTTTCCCCAGATGGTAGCATCTCTGTAACTCCACAGGTAGAGGGCGCTTTCTCCCTGTCTGCACTCATGGCCATGGCAGAGGGGCAGGACAGGGGCACAGAGGGCTGTCCTCGGGGCTCTGTCTCAGGAAATGCCAGTTTGCAGAGATAAGAAGGCAGTTCCCAGGAAAGGGAAGAAGAAGGTTCTGGTAGGTTACAGTTTACGTAACAAATACCTTTTTTTAATTAAGTATGGGACTTAAGAGCAACAGCTAGGGAAGCTTTCATTATTTTGCAGCTGTTGACTGTTTTCTTATCCAGATGGCCTTTGTTGCCTGGATACACATCTGTCGACAATGGCAGCAGGTGAGGTGATAATAGTGGAACTGGACTTAGGATGAAAGTGAAGCTTGAGGTATCAGGCAGGCGCACCATCACTGCCTCATTTGACTCTATGAGAATGTAAAGCTCTGTCCTCTAATTCTCCTCCTGTGCAAATCTGTCAGCTTATAGTATCAAATGTACATCATTTAAATGTTATTGCAGAGTTTGTGGGTTCATTTAAACTAGGGTGACCAGATAATCCATGTCATCCCGGACATTGTGAGCTACTTCAGGTTTTACAAACTACCTTAGAACTGAAAGGCTCCTGCACTTGGCTAAATAGTTCAGCTCTTCTTGTGCTTTGACTGGTTTATTTCCTTGACTGAAAGACTCATCCAGTTGTTTCACATTAACATTAGTGACACGTGCATGATTATAGGAGACTGACCAATCAACATGCAATAAGAACTCGGTGCTTAAGTGAAATCCAGGTCCTTTTAATTGAAATGGTAGGTTACAAATCTTGTCCTAGCTCAAGGTGTCCAGGATGACATGGATTATCTGGTAACCCTATTTAAACCCACAAATGTGGACATCGTTTGTTGTTCTATTGTCGATTTCTTCACCTCAGTAACCACTTTTCAACATAGCCCTCACTGAAAGCTGCTCGGCTTTGATGTGTATATGTCCATGAGTCTTTATCCCCCAATGATTTAGCAATCTCACAAAGCTGATTTTAAGATGGCAAATTGGGGTCACTCAGATTGCTGTGTACCATAAAAGCTGTGCACACCCTGCGTGATGTGGCACATGCAGAGTGTGGGTGCGAGCTGGCTCTGCGGCTCCGTGTGTCACCGGTGCAATATGGCACTGCAACTCTCATTCATGACACGGCCTCAATAAGCCTCCTGTTCGCCTGGATACAGAGACATGGAATGCTGCATTCCCATTGGCAGAGCAACAGGGGATCTGGAAAGGAGCCAATCAGGAGTGCCGGCTGCTCATCCTGCACTCACATTGGCTGACTGTGGCCGGGAATAGAACGTTGCTGCCATTCTCTCACTCTACATCTCCGGGATGTGTTTCTACCCGCATTATTATGAATGGAGGACAGTAAGCCAGTTCCAACTTTGTGGAGTTGGTTTAGCACAGGAGGCTCAATGTGCATCGGTCAACCTTAACATGCTGTTTGTTTGAGTCGTTTACTTCACGCTTTTTCTGTCTTATGATACACGGAGCAGGTCCAGATATACGAGGCAGTGTCTGTAGTAGGCGTCCACTCCCACTGCTGTTCTCCAAGTAGTGCAACTCTTTTGGGTGGCTTAAGTTTTTCTTGTAAACATTTTGTTATTCTAAGGTGGTGTTTCTCAAACCGGTCCTTGGGGACCTCCAGACAGTCAATGTTTTTGGTCGGAGCTGGGAGGGAGTGAAAATGTGGACTGTCTGGGGGTCCCCAAGGACTGGGTTGAGAAACACTGCCCTAAGGTACAGGCCTATCAGCCCAGACAGAAGGGACTTCCTGTTCTTGGTAAATGCATCTGGTACCCAGCAGCAATAGCTGAATGATGATAGCTGACTGAAAAGCATAACAATGGCAGAGAAAGGCCCTTGTGTCATTGATTGGTAGTTCCTGGGGGGTGGGCTCAGGGTTAGGGGCCATGTTAAGGCCAATGGGCAAGCAGGAGAGTAGGGCTGTTGCTCTGCGAGGCAGGGATGGTTCTCACAGCTCGATCTGTGCTGGGAAGCGCGAGTAGAGGCGCACCCAGCTACACCTGGCCGTCTGCATAAAACAAACAGGCGCAGGTGGAAACAGGAGGTGCCCAGCATTACACAGCAAATCCTATACGAAAAAAGAGTCATGGTTTATCCTGTCAGCTTAGTCTTATCTGTTTCAGCAGACCAGTGGTTTTCAGCCTTCCTTAGCCTTAAACAAAACAGAATGACTGAATAAAGCTTGGGTGGGGAGCCTGCTGTTTTTATAGATACGAGTTATTTTACCCCCCCCTGAGTTCAGCCTCCCTGTCCGCGTTCGTTCTTTTCCCCGCTGCTTCTCGCCTTCCACACTCCCGCTTCCGGAGTCTTACACAACAGCAGACGGTCACCCCAAAAGCAGCTGCCGGCTTCCTGTCGCAGTTAAATAACAGTGCGCCTGGTATAATTATGCATCTGGAGCAAATCTGTCCACTTTATTAAGTTTAAAAAGAAATGTTCTCATTTAATTATTTCTCAGGCCAAATAATTCAGAACAACACGAATATATATTTATACGCAAAAGTGGGCAATATTTCGACAACAGGAAAGCTTCTTCATCATTTATTATTATTATTATTATTATTGTTATTATTCCTTATTACTTTTTTTTTAACCAGGTCTGAAGTCAAATTTGGACAGTTTTCTGGTAACTATGACCTTTTGTTACGGATATTAATCTGTTAACGACTTGGTAATTAGGTGTAAAGATGTTTTGCGTTTTTAGATCTAGGTATCCGTATAAATTGGGTAGTTTCACCAAACACTTACTCAGCAGTTGGGGGCAGCTCTCTGACCGCCGCAGCCGTCTGAATTACAGCGCACACTTTTGTATAATGATTAATTAGATTCAGATAATTATTGCGCGGCAGCGGGCAGGCCGTTTTCTCTGACTCCCCCCCCCGGTAGCTTTTCTGCTATGCTCCCGCCCCCTGGGACTTGGCCGCCCAGCGTGTGCTCAGCCTGCTGTGGCCAGTAGGACTCCTGTTAGATGAGTGAGCGGAGCCCGGAGTTCCTGGAACCGGTTATTCGGAGTGGGGGGCAATAAAAATCACAGTCCAAGAAACGGTTACCCTGTAATACATTCCCTCCCTGTATCACAGCAAAGAGCGGCGGCTGATCCCTCGGACCGGATCAAGGGCGTCGCCGCTCGTTAGTCCGAGGGTGCTTCGGGGCCGTTCCTGCATATTCCCCCCTCCCGCCCAGTTTTGTCACAGAGGGAGGTGGTGGAGCGCACAGCCGCCATCTTTTGGGACTTGCCTATGAGGGAAAGGAGCTGCTGGGCCACGGGTAGCCTTGGGGTGGAGTTTCTGCACACTGAACAACAGCGGCAGTGGATCGGTGTGACAGCACAAAATAAGCCCGGGGGCAGCGCTGCAGTGAACGAGAGACCCCCGATTCCGCACCGTTCTGTCTCTGCCGACCGATCCAGCGGCTCGATCACTACAGCCCTCTTTTCAAACCTGGCCTGTCGGAAGGGTGAGTCGCCGCTTCACGTTCATTCAAGTTATGCAGCGATCCGGATTGGGGTTTGGGGAGGGATGGGATGGGTGAGGTGGGGTTGCGGTGTTAGAACAAACTGTCCCGGTCGCATTAAGTGTCATTAGTCCGACAATGCACGCATAAAACAGCACTGTCACTTAATTTACATAGCTGGGTGGAAAAACGACTGGGCGATTTGTGGCACGTTGACAGCGTTAAACTCGTCTAGGTCTTGCCAAAGTAGTCCGATGATCCAGTGTCCAGGTTTCGATCTATAGGATGCCTGTGCCGTGCTGTGCGATGCCGTTCCCCTGCCATGGTTTGGTGCAGTGCCGTAGCACCCTGAATGTAATGCTTCTGTTATTTCAATCGGTACTTTTTAAAATAACATTTTTCCACGTCGAAAAGCTCAGTTCTTTTTATGGTTTGTGCAGATCGCTGCATTTATACATTTACACTTGTTTTAACTGTAGCTGTCATACTTTGACGCCTTTTTGAAAGCCACTCCCTCCGGCTTTTTCTCCCACGACCCCCAGTAAATAGCGTGTTGCGGGCATGTTTATTCCCGCGCAGTGTAGCGCTTTTACTGTAATCTTCAGCACGGTCTGTTTTTCTGTGTGTATATAAATGGCAGATCAATGCGGACTGACGCACAGCCCGCTCCCCGCGGCTGTCCCGTGTTTTCGCTCATTACGACATTCCGGCTCGCCCGTACCAGGCGGGCGGGACAGTTTGACAGCCCCTCCCCCGACCCCCACTCGTACCCGTGTCCCAGTTGCGGCACTTTATTTTCCTGTATGACGTGCCCTCTCCTGAGGGATGTGCGGTCGGCCTCTGCGGTGTCTCTCCGATTCGGGTTCCAACTCGACTTACTGCCTGTTTTATCCTCCGTAAGTATAGAGTAAAATTTAGGAAACGCAAGTTAAAACGTAAACACTAATATTATATTGTCTGGTTTATTTTTTTAATTACTGCTTCTGAATATCGGCTAGTGTCAATGTCATTTACTTAACGCATGTATATAATGTTAATATCAAATGTCCGGTATGCCTCGTTATAATGAGGACATCTGATCTGGAGATTGTTTTACTGATTGTTATTTTATTAACAATGTGGAGACGCGTTTAAACAAACCGAACGCACGGTTTATTTGTGAATAATATTCGCGGGAGATGCCGTATTTTGGATCTCAGTTGCTTCCTTACTAGACGTTGGGGGGGGGGGCGCTATGTACTGTAAACGTTTTTACATCCTTCACACAGTTTATCACTTGTGTCAGAGAGGGTCTCTGCTCCCTTGTTTTCCCTTCTAACCCTGGGGGCTGATTAGATCTAAGACTCTGCCCGCTCCACTCTCCTTGGTCCGGAGTTCCCCTAGTGTTGTTTGACTGGGCAGAAGTGCTTTTTTTTTTTTTTTGGGTGGGAGGTGATTTCAGGGCACTGAATGGAAGTGTGATATGATGGACTTGTCTCCATGATGTTGCTGTAAGACGCATTTGCAGATTCGGGCTGGCTTTCAGCCCGCCATCAGCACAGTAGCTCTCGGTGCGAGGGGTTGCAGGCGTCTCTAGGCTTTGGATGTCTGCCTGTAAATGTGCTTCCGGGTGGATGGTGTTTTCTGTGTTGGGGCAGAACGCTGACTGCAGTGAGCGTGGGCAGCTTTCCAGTCTGAGTCTATTTGCCCTGCCACGGTTTGTTTTTAGCTCATTTCTGCAGACCATCAGCATGTTAATGGGCAGAGACGATACACTGAGCGTGTGCAAAGGCCCGTCCAGTGCCCACAGCTGTCCGGCCTGTGCTGCCGCTCCCTTACTCCGCCCGGGCCTTGGTCCTCAGTCCTGGACCCTCTGTGTACTGCTTACCATCTGAGATTGTGCAGATGGTCTCTGTTTAAAGCCCCTCATAGACACAGCTGCTTGCTGGAGTTCTGACCCATGAGCTACAGGTGTATGTCTGCAGCGGGTATCTGCTGTTAGACCTTTGGGTGAGCGTCAGTGCTATTTGAATGCCTGATAGCGACAGGCCGACGGACGGATGAGCATTGATATGCAGTTTGCTGGTACACAGGCACGGATGTTGGGTTTTCATTTATGCTTTTCATGAACATGTTGCTGGTTGAGGCCCTAGCCAGGTGATTGCTGTTGTACTGTAGACTGAGGTAGCCCCCTCTTGGTTACTGCAGTAAATGCCCATCTGCGTGAGTCCCTCCCCAGCCACAATATCCCTGGGACTGAAGGCTGATCCTACCAGGCTGGGGGGTGGGGGTGGGGGTGGCCGGTCTTGTGACCCGGGAATGGAATCCGTATCGCCATTGTTGTGTCTGTCTGAGGCTGGTCATTTGAAAAAGATTCTGACTGTGGGAAGGGAGTGTATGTGGGGGCAGGGGGGGTGACAAAGAAGACTGACTTCCCTATTCAGTGCGGCCAGCAGGACAGAGACCAAATAATAAACAAGCCTTTATTTTTTAGTGAGCAGTGTGTGTACGCACGTGTGTGTGTGTGTGTGTGTGTGTGTGTGTGTGTGTGTGAGAGAGAGAGAGAGAGAGAGAGAGAGATGCAGTGGATTATTCACTGAGTTTGTAGGTTTTTGAGGTTTTTTGTGAGAAGTTGCTTGTGAAGCTGATTAACATATGAAAAACTGACTTTTGACCCCCCCATCTCTCTTGCCCTTTTCTATGTCACTACAGCCTTTGGGTCCAGTCTTCTGTGTCCCCATCTCTCTCTCTCTCTCTCTCTGTGTCCCCATCTCTCTCTCTCTCTCTCTCTATCTCTCTCTCTCTCTCTCTCTCTCTCTCTGTCCCCATCTCTCTCTCTCTCTCACTCCTCCCCCCCCATCTTTTTGGAGGTCTCACCCTCCACAACATGGCATCTCCTCAGGCCTGTTTGCATCTTTAGGGTTGATTCTGTGCTGAAAAGAACAGACAATTCAATACACTGCAGAAAATATAAAATATATCAAGCTGACCAAATTTCAGTTTGCATGTCTGTTTCAGTGTCTTGCGTGCCACACACACCCTGAGCTGTTATCCTCTGATGTCATGAAGAGGCATTTTTGAACTGATTTGTGCTGGAAAATCTTTCCCAGCATCTGCTCTGTGTCCTCCTGGCTCTCCTCTCTGTCGATGTGTTATTATAACACTTTTATTATCGAGATATTTCAGAGACGGGGTTTGCATTAAACTTCTAAAAACATTAAACTTTAGTATCCAGTGACAAAGGTGTGAGCAAGAAAATCGCATTATGTGACAGTGTAGCCCAGTAATGTTCCGACTGCCATCTGCTTCACTGGAAACACGCATGTTGAGTGTGTGGCTTTTAAAGTAAACCTGACCAAACTGCATGAAATGATGATGATCACTTGGTGAAATTTCCCTTTCTTACAACAGCATTTTTTCCCCATCCATCTTTTTATTTTAATTGGACATCTTGTATTGGATTTCAGGTGGTTTAGTGGTATTTCCAATACAAGGAACTTCTCACACTAGGGAGAGGATTCTGAGTAAAACGGGGCAGGGGCTGATGGATTTATTTATGTACAAGAAATGGGACTCTGGGTTAGGGGGGGGGGGCAAGACAAGAAACACAGGATTCAGCTTTTGCCATCAGGAAAAAGATACAGAGCAATGAAAATAAAGACAAACCGCCTAAAGAACAGTTTTTATCCAAAACCAATCATGGCCTTAAACTTAAACTCTAAACAGGTCTTTTTCATATTCACAAGTGCAATTCATATATTTCTCCAGTGCAATATGTATAATTAGTGCAATTTGTATATTTTTGTAATTTATTCTTCTATTACTCATGCCTCACATTGTGTCGCCGGCACTTTCGCAATTTCGTTGTCAAGTGGCAATGACAATAAAGATTATCTTATCTGTTGTGCTGAGTGAAATTCTGGGTGAAAATAGGAACGGGGCAGAGGAATGTGCCTGCATGTGAAGCCAAGGATTCAGGGTGAAAGCAGGACCGGAACGCAGAGAGGGTGGCTGGCAGTTGTGTCCGCAGATTCGGCCACGCTGTCCAGTGTGAAATTCCCAAGGTGTGTGCCGGTCACGAATGAGGCCGGGGCAGAGTGACACGGAGCTTAATCTCCCGCAGCACAGCCTCCTTCCCCGGTGCATTAGATTCCTGTCATTGTCATCTGCTCTGCCTGAAAGCCCTAGTCTCTCCATTAAGCCGTCCCTCTGCACCATCCCCACGCACCATCCCTGCTCATCTCCATCTCTTGCTTTGCCCATCTTTCCCCTCGTGTTCCGCTCCCTCTTTGGCTGTATAGGAGCCCTTTGTTGCCGTAGAGACAGGGGCAGTCATTGGCTAACTGTTCTGGAAAGAAAGAATAATTTGCAAGTGTTGAGTGTGGCGTAGTATCAAGCCCTTTGTCACACACACACACACCGGTTTAGCCTGTGAAGCAGTGAGCGAGGACAGGAAGTCGTTGAAGAAACCTTGGCTTTGTCTGCACGGACTTCCTGTCTCACCATGCTGGCAAAATGTCCTCTCCCCCAAGTGGGCTTTCCCCATGGAAACTACCATATTTGTTTTTTATTTTCTGTTTTTACTGTCCTTGAATCATAATATGTACTGGGAATCTCCGGGGGGTGATGTCGTTTGCTGTTTGTTACGTGCCCTTTTTATCCGGTTAGGAGAGGGTGTCACAGCTGGCCTTGGAGCTCCTCGCTAAGTGGCTATAGACCTGATTAAAAAGCGGATGCTTATATCGAGTCTACCCAGTGGCATTTTGTTTAAGTAGCAGGAGGATTCCTTTCCCTTGGCAACCGCTGCTGTGGAGTGCAGCCTATGTCAGATTTGGTTGCCTTGGAAACATACAGGAGTAGCTGTGTGGAAGATGGCTGACCCGCGGGTTGACTTCTCTCCAGGTGCCCATGCCTGCAAGGCCGCTGTCCTGCAGATGAGCCATCGGCGGCTGGCATCGCGTCACAGACCCAGATAGTCCCCGGCGGCCGCACCGCGCCCTTTCCCTCCCCCAGCCCAGCATGCCCACCCCCAGCCGGGCGGGGAGCCTGAAGGATGCTGAGATTGCCGAGCTCTTCTTCAAGGAGGACCCTGAGAAGCTCTTCACCGACCTGCGCGAGATTGGCCATGGCAGCTTTGGCGCCGTCTACTTCGTACGTGCCAGCCCTTGGGCCGACCCGACTTTTCTGTCCCCCTAGATATTGTTATTTCAGGCTCCAATTTGTGTGATAAACTGAGCCTAAAGCCTAACAGAGCCTAAATCTGGTGGTGAAACATCCAGCCCCACGAGTGGACAAAGTGTTCGACTGTCTGCGCCGGTCTGGCTGTAAAGACATGCTGTCTGCCTCTGTCCTTCAGGCGCGGGACGTGCGGAACATGGAGGTGGTGGCCATTAAGAAGATGTCCTACAGTGGGAAGCAGTCCACCGAGGTGAGTGGCACTGTCGGCGCAGGCAGGTTCCCTTGCTGCTGCTGGTACAGTGCAATGGGCATGAGGTGAACACACCTTTTAATACTCGAGGAGGACAGTCTCCGGTGCTGGATGTACAACACCAGACATGACCTCCGTGAAACGTCGTCCTCTGTATTCTCGGTTCCTCTAGCGGTGACAACCAGCAGCAGTGCTGTCTCGGTGCAGCTTTGGGACACATGACCGGCATGCATGAGTCATTTTCTTCGCCAAGAGTGCGTCAGCCCAGCATCAGGTGTAGTTAAGTCACTCTGCTTTGTGCGTAACTCAGTCTCAAAGCAAAAGACTGATCACTGTTGGCTGATCAGGTATCTTTAGCCTGAAGAAACATCTGGTCGTATTCTTTGCGCATTTGAGAAGTTCAGGAATGGCAGAAGTGTTTTCCTGTGTCGAATACACCGAGGTGTTTTGCTGGGTTTTTCTCCACTGGAGAAATGCAGAGTCGAAGCCCTGATTTGTGTGCTGCCTTTGTGAAGAAGCGTTACCGTAGAAACAAAACCATCGTCGAGGCGATCCAGTTGTGATGCGTCAAAATCAGGGCTATGCAGTGCGAGCCTGATGTGTTATAACAAGTGCTGTTTCATCGTCTTTTTCTGTCGGCTGATGGCCGTCTTGGGTGGTTGTCGACAGCCGCGAAATGAAAATTAGCTCTCAGCTCCACACCGCCACGCAACCTCTCTTGGATATGTGTGTGACAGAATGGAGGGGGGGGGGGGTGACCTGTGGGCTGGGTGGCAGAGTTCCCCTTCTCATTTTAACAAGCACTGCAGAATCGGGGATTTTATCGTTTTTGGTGGGTGTGACTGTATAAATGTCAGTGGGGTGGGAATTTCGTGACTGGTGATAAAAGTTAAAGGCTGCCCTCTGATCCTTCCCACCCCCACAGAAATGGCAGGACATCATTAAGGAGGTGAAGTTCCTACAAAGGATACAGCACCCCAACAGCATCCAGTACAAGGGCTGCTACCTGCGGGAGCACACAGCCTGGGTAAGGGGTGCCCCCCCTGGTGGGAGCTGGTAGCACAGCGTAACGCACACAGTCCCCTGGGGATGAAATGGGGGATCCTTGCTGTCCTCACTGGTGGACCAAGATCAGTATGTTTAATGCACATGAGTGTGATGTGTAAATGAAGCCATCCCCTCTTTTCCCGCAGCTGGTAATGGAGTACTGCTTAGGCTCCGCATCAGACCTCCTGGAAGGTGAGCCTGCTTCCTGTATCTGGTAGTTTCGGCCATCAGAAGTGTTGCTTTTATGTAAGGAATGCATTTACTGTGACTGGAATGGCTAATGGGTGACAGACACTTCCCAAGGAAGGCCCAGTGTCCCCCTGGCTGCCAGCCTCCAGTGCCGCAGTGAAACAGCACATTCCCGTGCGGGTCTGAGGGCTGCCGAGCCTGTTCTGGGGCGGCAGCACTTTTCTCCATGCCTCCTCTTCCTCTTTCTGACTGACTGCTCTCTGCTCTGCTCCTCCAGTGCATAAAAAACCTCTCCAGGAAATAGAAATAGCAGCCATTACCCATGGTGCTTTGCAGGGGTTAGCCTACCTTCACTCCCACAACATGATTCATAGGTGAGTGAGTGTGAGTGAGTACGTGTGTGTGTGGGGGAGGAGGGGAGATTCAGAAACCCAGACACACAGACGGGAAGCTTCATATAACCCAGCACCAGTCGTAAGGCTAGAAATGCGCAGTTATCTTAAGATCAGCTCTGGCTTAGCATGGTGTTTGAGCTCATGGCCCAGTCACAAGACACTGAACCCTGAGTCCTGGAGGACCTCAGCTGGCTGGGAGGGGTCTTTTAGATCAGTTTGAAATGTTTGTCCTTTTAGTTCTCAGCGGTGCAAGCAGTCGCAGGGATTGGATGGGGGAGGTGTCTTTGTGCAGTGAGCAGTGCTGCAGTGAGCAGTGCCGAGGAGTGATTGTCCGTTCTGTTGCACTCTGGCCCATAGGGACATTAAGGCCGGAAACATCCTGTTGACAGAACCTGGGCAGGTAAAGCTGGCAGACTTTGGCTCCGCCTCCATCGCTTCCCCCGCCAACTCCTTCGTAGGGACGCCATATTGGTGAGTGGGCTCTGTAGACCGTCTGTCCACACCAAGCATATGGTCCTTCAGAAAACATGCACCCCCCCCCCCAAACACCCTCAGGGATTTTCATTGCCCAGACATGGAGTCATGCTTTGTGTGCATCTTATGCTGCGTTCCATTTGAACTCATAAGTCGGAAATTGTGAGTTCCTAGTCGGAAATTTCAGCTGGAACGTCCCCTGAAGTTGGAATTCCGACTCGTGAACTCGGAGGAATCGACACAACCCCAAGCTCAGAATCCAAGATGGCTGCGCCCTTTATCAACAGAAGTTAAAGCAGTAGTTTTACACTGTTTATTAGCACTTATTTGTGGCTCATTAAGTTGGTCGTACACACAATACTGTCCAACTGCTATCTGTGTACTTGTTGCTACAGCGTTTTTATGCACAAAATACCACGTAATGTGTTGTTATCCAATGATATTACTAGCAATTAGACAGGCTAGAACTGGGGCCCGTTTCATTACGCAGGATTTCTTGCTTTGTAGGATTTAAGGTACTCTGGGCTAAATGTAAGTAAATGAACATAAAGGCTGTTTAAACTGGGGTAAATTAAATCCGACAAATTATCCAGGTAAGCAAGATATTTTGCTTTTTGAAACGTGACATTAAATGGCTTTCCGACTTGTACTGGAACGCTGTTAACTCGTGTGTGACGTCATTCCCAGTTCTGAGTTCCGGTCTCTGGGGTAAATGGAACACAGCATTAATGTCTGCTCTTTGTGCCTGCGGCAGACACTTCGGTTAATGACTTCCTGTTTGGCTTACACTGGGCTCCAGTTTCCTGTCCCTCCCCCCACAGGATGGCCCCCGAGGTGATTCTGGCCATGGACGAGGGCCAGTATGATGGCAAGGTGGACGTCTGGTCACTTGGCATCACCTGCATTGAGCTCGGTGAGCCTGTAGGAGGCGCTGATGTGAGGTTCAGCCTGCGCCAGTCTGCCATCCCTTACACACGTTCATTCTCTCTCTCTCTCTCTTATGCTTTTTTCTCCTCTCGTACACTTTTTGCAGTTCTATCTCTCCCTGTTCTCTCTCCCCTGCTTCTCTCCAGCTTTTCTGTTTGTTCCCCCCCCCCCTTCTGTGATACTGTTTACACGGTGTGGGCATGTACCTGGTCCAGTTCAGTGTAAGAACCCCTCAGTAAACCTCTATGGCTGCTGTCCATCAGCTTCAAGCTGCTTGGCTGTCCCTTTGGGGCGTGGCCTGGGCCTGGTCTGGGTGTGGCTTAGGTGGGGCCCCACTTGCTGAATTTGTATTTATCTTTTCTTGCTCTGGTGTCCACTTGTGCCCCCCCCTCAGCGGAGAGGAAGCCCCCGCTTTTCAACATGAACGCGATGAGTGCCTTATACCACATAGCACAGAATGAGAGCCCCATCCTGCAGTCCAGTGAATGGTGAGAACCCCCCCACCTGGGAGCACTGTGTCCCTGTTCCACTGTCATACTGTCCTACTGGCATACATAACCTTAGCAGGAGCCGCTGGAAAGGCAGATGGACACACAAGCATCCAGCAGCAACTGCTCTTCTCATCTTTACCAATATGCTATTTTCTTATGTGTGTTTTTTTTATTCGTATTCTGGGATCTTTTTTTGCAAAATCTAAATGGTTCTGCTTTCTGTCTCCCCGACGCTCTTAGGACGGATTACTTTAGAAACTTTGTCGATTCTTGCCTTCAGAAGATCCCCCAGGACAGGCCTACGTCTGAGGAGCTGTTGAAGGTGAGGCCTGCATCAGTCCATCGCCTCCCTTGGCATGCTGCCCCCAGCCCTGGGCATCCCCCACAGTGCCCCGCATGCCATTTAGCTATGTGTTTGTGTGAATGCATACAGAGCACCACAATCCCTCGCTGTTGGTGAGGGTTTGCTGTCAGATGGGTGTCTCTCGCTGCTGCCCCCTTCTGGTCCCCCAGTGTGATGCTCACTGCAGGATATCACTCACAACACATCTTTCCTGTGATTGTCAAAATACTATAATTGGCAAAAATAGCCACAAATCATGCAGCAAGAGCAAGTGGCGACTATTTGGCAAGACCTGTTACCAGCAATGGTTGGATGGCGAGCAACAACGAGTGGGGCTGCTCATAGGGTCAACCATGACTGGAAATGCACTAAAATTATAATTGAGAATGAAAAACCATTAATCAGACCTCCTTTGTTTTCATTCTTATTGTCCATCATCCCCTTCCTCTTCCGCTGATGGTGTTTCTCTTTGCCAGCATGCCTTTCTCCGGCGGGAACGGCCCGATTCTGTGGTGATAGACCTGATCCAGAGGACAAAGGATGCCGTCCGCGAACTCGACAACCTGCAGTACCGCAAGATGAAGAAGATCCTGTTCCAGGAGACCCCCAACGGCCCAGTCGTGGAGGTACCCGAGGAGGAGGAGGTGAGCCCAGCCCCTGGTTGCCAATTTGGCCCCACCTCCCTTCCCCTCCCATGCAGTGGAATTGTCCTGCTGTTGGCCGTCATGGCACCTGACAGCCTTTGGGTATTTGTGAACTCACTGGTTTGCCACAGTTATATTTCCTGGATGTGAAATTGTGTGGTAAAAGAGCCCCACCACTGCCCCCTGCAGGAGCCAGAGCACGGCCCGGGACGCACGGGCACCGTGAGCAGCGTGGGCAGCAACCAGTCCATCCCCAGCATGTCCATCAGCGCCAGCTCCCAGAGCAGCTCTGTCAACAGCCTGCCAGACGCCGCTGGTGCCGGGGACGACCGCAGCGAGCTGGAGCTGCTGGAGGGCGACCACACCGTCATGTCCAACAGCTCTGTCATCCACGTTCAGCCAGTGGGTACCGGCCCGTCTCGGGGGGTGGGCTCCATTTCATTCACTGCCGTGTCTCACTCCGATGTCCCTCATCAGGATGAGGAGTGTTTCCATGACAACCCAGAACCACAAAGGCGGCTGTCAGAGCCGCAGTCCCCACCCGCACAGACACCCCGGACCAAGCCTCGCTACCGGAACCGCGAGCACTTTGCCACTATCCGGACCGCCTCCCTGGTGAGTCCACTCCCCCCCCCCCCCCCATGCAGGTGACATCACTCCTCCCTGTGTGTCAGTGAGGGGATGATTCGTCCTATCTGTCCCTCTGTACAATCCATCCCTCTGGCCTCCGCCCCCAGGTAACGCGGCAGGAGCAGGACTCAGAGCTGCGAGAGCAGATGTCCGGATACAAGCGCATGCGGAGGCAGCACCAGAAGCAGCTGATGGCGCTGGAGAACAAGCTGAGGGCCGAGATGGACGAGCACCGGCTGCGGCTGGACAAGGAGCTGGAGGCCCAGAGGAGCAGCTTCAGCGGAGACATCGAGAAGCTGCTGAAGAAGCAGCAGGCCTCCCTGGAGAAAGACGTAGCGTAGCCTCTCTAACGTGTCACCATCATCATCCTCATCATCGTCGTGATCAGTCCCCCTAACCATACCACCCCCACCCCCCACCCTGGTTAAGATGGTCGCTGATGAGGAGAGGAAGTTCCAGCAGCACATCCAGAGCCAGCAAAAGAAGGAGCTCAGCAGCTTCCAGGAGCTACAGAAACGAGAGTACAAGCTACACAGGCAACAGCTCAAAGAGCTAACATGCTAACACAGCGAAACACACACACACACACACTGTGGTTACACAGCGAGAGAAACACACACGCTGCATGTGTGTTAGTATGCCAAGTGTCTCTGTGCATTAGGCAGGTGTATGCATATGCCTGCACACACACAGTATATGCAGAGGCAGTGAGTGGCTGAGCGTGTTAAGTGGCTGTGACACACACACACTTTTTTTTTTGTCAAAGAAAAAACAAAAACAAAAAACATATACACGATATACAGGGCACACACAGGGGTGGTGAGTGGCTCAGTGGGCTAAGCCTCCGTGCCTGTGATCAGACAGTTGGTGGTTTGAGCCTGCCCTCAGCAGAATAGTTACAGGGCAGGCCCTTGAGTGTACTGACTGACTCTGTGTGTGTGTGTGTGTGTGTGTGTGTGTGTGTGTGTGTGTGTGTGAGAGAGAGAGAGTGATCACACTGCAGGATTAGGCAGTGTGCTTGAGGGCCTGCCCTGTAACTATTCTGCTGAGGGCAGGCTCAAGCCACTGACCTAATCACAGGCACAGAGGGTTAGCCACTCACCACTACTTTTTTTAATTTAAAAAAAAAAGGCAAATAAAGGATTCACACTTGTAGCACCTGTCTCTGTGTGTTAGGGTTAAGACCCTTGCTCTAGGACTTGCCCCATGACTATTCTGCCAAGGCTGGGCTTGAACCACCAACCTTCTGATCACAGGCATGGAGGCTTAGCCTGCTGAGCCACTCATCACTCCTGTGTGTGCTCTCTGTATTTCGTGTATATGTTTTTTTTTTCTTGACAAATAAATGGCAAATAAAGGATTTATCATATATATACATACTATATTGCCAAACGTATTGGGACACCTCTCCAAATCATTGCATTCAGGTGTTCCAATTGCTTCCATAGCCACAGGTGTATAAAATCAAGCACCTAGGAATGCAGACTGCATCTACAAACATTTGCGAAAGAATAGGTAATTCACAGGGGTTCAGTGAATTCAAGCGTGGTACTGTGGTAGGATGTCACCTGTGCAAGGCCATTTGTGAAATTTCCTCGCTACTAAAAATTCCACGGTCAACTGTTAGTGGTATTATAACAAAGTGAAAGCAATTGGGAACAACAGCAACTCAGCCACGAAATGGTAGGTCACAGGGACACCGCATGCTGAGGCTCACAGTGTGCAGAAGTCGCCAACTGTCTGCAGAGTCAATAGCTACAGACCTACAAACTTCGTGTGGCCTTCAGATTAGCTCAAGAACAGTGCATAGAGGACTTCATGACTGAGCAGCTGCATCCAAGCCTTACATCACCAAGCACAATGCAAAGCGTCGGATGCAGTGGTGTAAAGCACGCCGGCACTGGACTCTGGAGAAGGAGAGGTGTTCTCTGGAGTGACAAATCACACTTCTCTGTCTGGCAAACCGATGGACGAGTCTGGGTTTGCTGGTTGCCAGGAGAAACAGTACTTGCCTGACTGCATTGTGCCAAGTGTAAAGTTTGGTGGGGGGGGATTATGGTGTGGGGCTGTTTTCAGGGGTTGGACTTAGTGCCTTAGTACCAGTGAAAGGAACTCAATGCTGCTGCATTCAAAGCCATTTGGACAATTTCATGCTCCCAACTTTGTGGGAACAGATTGCGGATGGCCCCTTCCTGTTCCAACATGACTGTGCACCAGTGCACAAAACGAGGTCCATAAGGACATGGATGAGCGAGTCTGGTGTGGAGGAACTTGACTGGCCTGCACAGAGCCCTGACCTCAACCCGATAGAACACCTTTGGGATGAATTAGAGCGGGGACTGCGAGCCAGGCCTTCTCGTCCAATATCAGTGCCTGACCTCACAAATGCTCTCCTGGAAAAATGGTCAAAACACTCCTAAACCTTATCGACAGCCTTCCCAGAAGAGCTGAAGCTTATAGCTGCATATTAAAGCCTATATATTAAGAATGGGATGTAATTAAAGTTCATACGTGTGTGAAGGCAGGTGTCCAAATACTTTTGGCAATATAGTGTGTATGTATGTGTGATATATATATATACTCACACACGTGTGCGCACACACACACTTACCTCCTGTCTGTGTGTGTTACGGTTAAGGGCCTTGGTCAAGGGCCTGCCCTGTGATTATTCTGCTGATGCTGGACTTGAGCAGGTGACCTTCCAGTCACAGGGGAGCTGAGCCCCACACTGCCCCCATGTGTACCCTCTCTGTTTTTTATTCTTGACAAATAAATGGTAGAAGAATTTATCATCACATACACACACCTTGTTCCCAGTCTATGCACACGTGTTTATACGATGCTTTTTAAATACACTAACAGAATGTCACACTTCCAATGCTAACAGTGTATGATTTGCTCCATCATCCCATCATCACACTGGGATCTGATGTGTCGCTGCATCTCGCCCCTAGGAGCTTCACGAGAACCAGTCGACACCCAAGAAGGAGAAGCAGGAGTGGCTCTCCAAGCAGAAGGAGAACATCCAGCACTTCCAGGCGGAGGAGGAGGCCAACCTGCAGCGGAGGCAGCGTCAGTTCCTGGAGCTGGAGAGCCGACGCTTCAAGAGGCGCGTGCTGATCGTCCGGCACAACGCGGAGCAGGACCTGCTGCGTGAGGTGGACTTGGCGGGGTTGTGTTCCGCTTGATCCGTCCCGTCAGCCCGCCCAACTACTGACCCCCTTGCCCCCCCCCCCATGCTATCGGCAGGAGCTGAACAAGCGGCAAACGCAGAAGGACCTGGAGCACGCCATGCTGCTGCGGCACCACGAGTCCACACAGGAGCTAGAGTTCCGGCAGTTGGCGCTGGTGCAGCGGACGCGGGCCGACCTGATCCGCACGCAGCACCAGAGCGAGCTCACCAACCAGATGGAGTATAACAAACGGAGGGAGCGTGAGCTGCGCAGGAAGCATGCCATGGAGGTGCGGCAGCAGCCCAAGAGCCTGAAGGTGAGTGGCGGCGCTTTGCGGGGTTGACGGGGTGCCAGCGGGGCATTGAGGCACTTATGACACGTCTCTCCAACTCTCTCCTGTCTTGTGCCATCAGTCCAAGGAGCTGCAGATTAAGAAGCAGTTCCAGGACACGTGCAAGATCCAGACGCGGCAGTATAAAGCTCTGAGGAACCACCTACTGGACAACACGCCCAAGTCGGAGCACAAGGCCGTCCTCAAGCGGCTGAAGGAGGAGCAGACGCGCAAGCTGGCCATCCTGGCGGAGCAGTACGACCACTCCATCAACGAGATGCTGTCCACGCAGGCCGTAAGTTATCTGGTGGGGCCACAGAACTATGGGAAGGCCACATGGCAGAGCTTCTTGGCCCCCACTTGCTGTTAACGGTTTATTCCTCTTCCTCTTTTTGCCAGCTGCGATTGGACGAGGCGCAGGAGGCGGAGTGCCAGGTGCTGAGGATGCAGCTGCAGCAGGAGCTGGAGCTGCTCAACGCCTACCAGAGCAAGATCAAGATGCAGACGGACGCGCAGCACGAGCGCGAGAAGGATGAGCTGGAGCAGAGGGTGTCACTGCGTCGGGCGCTGCTGGAGCAGAAGGTGCAGTAAAAGGCGGTCAGGCGGCCCAGGGGGGGTGGCTTTTGGGGTGGTGGTTCCTGCCGTAACCAAGCGGTGAGGCTCAGATTAGCATCAGCTATCGGCTGCCACTTCCACACACAGCTGGCCGTTGCTCAGTATAAGATTTCACGTGGTTTGAGGGGCGAGCGGAGGAGGCAGGGCGCATATCAGAGGATTGTGGGTAAAGGTGTGAGGGCTGGTTGTAAATCCACATGCTGACCCCCGACTCCCACCGGCAGATCGAGGAGGAGATGCAGAGGCTGCAGATGGAGCGTTCTGAGCGCATCCGTAGGCTGCTGGAGCGGCAGGCGCGTGAGGTGGAGGCCTTCGACTCAGAGAGCATGCGGCTGGGCTTCGGCAGCATGGCGCTGTCCGGCCTGTCGCCCGAAGCCCTAAGTCACAGCTACCCCGGGGCCCCTGCCGGCTGGGCCGCTCACCAGCACCCAAGCAGCCACGGCCATCCCTGGGGGGGCGGTGGCCACCAGCAGCAGCACCACCACGGCCACGGCGGAACTGCATCTCCCTGGAGCCACGCCTCCGCCGGCTCCCTGGGGGCCCTCCCCCGGGTGGGCCCCGGTGTGGGGGCGAGGAACAGCCCGCAGGCGGCTAGGAGAATGGCGCCAGGGGGGGCAGCGCGCGGCGAGGCGGGTATGAACCGCAGCACCAGCATCGCCTCACAAATTTCTAACGGGTCACATGTGTCCTACACATAAGGGGGGGTGCGGGGGGTGGGGCAGGAGGCAGACATGGGCCAGACTGCCCCCCAATCCCTGCTGTTTCTTTCTTTGCTCTTCTCTCGTTCAAACAGACCTGTCTGTCTGACGAGGCGTCTCGCTCAGGTCACATGGCTCACAGGCACCTTCCCCCCAAGAGACATGGGACTGATCCTGGCTGAGGCAGTCGGAGCCACATGAGCTGACATGAGTGCTGGTGAAGTTCAGGTGTGAGCAAACGGGGGAGGGGAGTGCGGGGGCCAGCGTGCCGCTTCAGGCCGTCTGGGCCTCGCCCACTGCGGGACAAAGCTGCCCGGTGCCAGCCGACCGCCCGTCTGCCTGGAGAAACGCCATGTTGTCCTACAGCGGGAAGCCCAGCGAGGCAGCAGCCAAAGGGAGCCGGAGAGAGGTGACGTGCTGCTCCTCAGGCAGCAGACGGGCCGCGGGGCGATTGTCCAAACACCGGAGGCCCTCAGCCCCTCTGTACGTCAAACACCACAAAGGTGCTGCTGCTCCTTAACAGGGGGCCGCATGTGCTGCTTACCACATGCTGTATAAACAAACACTGTTAATATAGCAGTCCAGCAGCAGGCCCCCCCAGGAAGGGGCAGGGCAGGGCAGCCATCTTTATGTATCGTGCCTTCATAGGGTTAAACATATCCAAAGCATTGGGACACCCACATACACAGAAACACAACATGAATATGGAAGCGCCAGCCAGCTGAACTGCAAGCAAACCCGATATACTGAGACCAGAAACCGTGGAGTATAAAGGCAGCGGACATTAAATTATGGGATGGAGGATGTGATGATGAGTAGTGATACTAAACAGCGAAGGAAGGACACAGACGCCCACCACCACCCTAAGCCACATGGGCCACCCACCCACAAGCAACGCTCATCACACGTCACACTATGAATGTTTAAAACTACATTATGAAGCGAGGTTCACCCAAAAGCCAGGATGTCATTTCACATTTGTTTATTTAACAGACACTTTTGTCCTGACTGACATACAAGCAAGGCAGGTAGTACAAGCATACAGCCGCCAGCATGGATGCAGATGCTGCTAGGCAGCCCTAACAATGACGTGATGCACAAGGGGCAAGAGCCAAACAGGCTGTAACTGCAGAGACTATACAAATATAAAGCTATTCAAACAGCATCAAGAGAAGCAGGCAGAGTGTAAGTGTGAAATACAGGAAGAGCAGTCAGTCAGAAGGAACAGAGAATGCAAACAGAGCCCCAGTGAGGGTCCGTGTCAGGGACAGAGCCCTGGTCTAAGGGTGAGGCTGTTTAAAGCTTTACCTGAGGCGACGTTCCCTAAAAGTGGCAGTGGACTCTGCTGAGCAATAACTCACTCTGACCTGAAAGCAGGGGCAGGCTGGTACCACGACATTATGTGCGGGGGAGTGTGGTCAATGCTGCGATTCTCCACCAGACCAGACGGATGTTCCACAAATTAAGATCTCAGATAGATGGGTTAACTTAAGCTAGAAGTCATGATTGTCCAATAGGAAAGCTCCTTGCGTAAACTTTTACGCAAGGAGCGTAGGTTAGGTTAATCCACCTAAGAAATCCTACTTTGTGGAACACCCCCAAAAGAGGGCAGATGTACTGCAACAAACACAAATACAAACAGTGAAGTGAATCGGTAATGGATTTTTATGAGTAGTTTTAAAGTTGTTAGTCTAGGATTGAGCACTACTAATAATAACTGATACTTTATTGATCCCCATGAGGACAAATTTAACCAGACCCCAGCAAATTGTATTGGCAAGATTTCAAAATGGAATAGTGTTGCTTATGAGAATACCATATACCACGATATAATGTCTGGACAGTATAAATTATCGGGACATTACATACCTTTGCACCTCCTACAACAATAATTCATCTTCCTCTACTCTTGGTTGACCTCAACTCTGTAAAAGTCAGTGCTGCCACATGCTGGAAACCCCTAATCAATTTCTTTGCACATATGCAGTTCAAGCACATGGACACGCATGATCTCTGTAGGACAGAAAAAAATCTGGATTACATGCGCACCATCCACAGCCGTCTGGCACAAACCCCTGGTGACAAACATCGTCATCTGACCCTGTATGTGACTGAAAATGTATGTGGAAAAGCGGAGCATGAATTAGCCATTAGTGCAAGGTGATGCTGGCATGATTATCTTGGTGAAAATCTGACAGCCTCACTGCGCATGGGGCTGTGGGAGGAGGGAAACGTGGAAGGTCTGCTCTAGTTAAATGTCTTAAGCTCTGGTTCAGCCTAAACGCCAAGATGCCAAAGTCATGGAGCTGATGATCAACATGCCAAAAACAGACATGACAGTGACTGCGGTCTGAAGCCAGTCAGTACGATTGGGCAGCACGTAACCCAGCTGCGAGCCCTGCCATGAGAGTACACTCCCACTTGCTTTACTAAGGGAGAACAGAAATGTATTAGAATGACTTCAGTAGGTGGTGGCTTGTAGTCTGGATGAATCCTTACACAAAGATGTAAAATGTTCATATTGTATATAACTAATGTATGAGAGCGAAAAAAAATATGAACCATATAGTGAAGATGGACAAACTTGACATGACTGAGGGTTTTGCGGGGGTAGCGAGTGTCGGTGATCACCTGCGGCCACAAGCCTGACTGTCACAGACTCATGTGCTGCTCCTCTCCATCACTGCCCAACACTGCTGTCGGCGTGGGCCGTTCTTCCAGCCTTCAGCGCGGCCGGTCCTCCCCTTCCAGCAAAGCAGTCATTCAGGTTCTCCGCCTGTGTACATGTTCAAATTTAAGGGGGGTGTTTTATTCAAAAACTGGGTATGACACTGAGGTTTTTAAAATGGAGCTTTGGAAAGGAAGGGCTGTCAGGTTCCTGCCCCACACACACACACACACACGCCTGGGAGACACATGCTGAAGACATCGCTGTCCACCTCGCAGGACCAGGAGTGCGGCCAGTGTGAACACACACATATATATATGTGTATGTGTGTGTGTGTAAAACCCTTTTAAAAAGTATAACCAATCAAAATGCAAACCACACTTCCTGCTAATTGCCCAAGGGAAGCAGTCTGTGGGATGTTATTCATAACATTCCCCCCCCCCCCCCAGTTTGGGAGGGGTGAGCTGTGCGTTAAACTTCCATTCCCTACACCCACTTGTCAAACACTGTGCCATACTGCAGCCAGTGCCCCCCCCCAAAACCGCATGAAGTCAGCATGCAGTCCAAGTGGTTCAGAGTGACTTAACCTTTCCAGCCTGTCTTGGCCAATGGGGATGTGTGTGTGCGTGTGTTTGGGTTGGGGGTAGAGTTTTGTACAGCGTGTGTCAGTATCTCCCCCTCCCAACCTCTGCTTTTACATTACCACAAAAAAAGTCTATATGTACCTTGTATTGAAATGTATAGATTGTGAAATCTGTCACTGTCAGAAAGATTACAAAATATAAATTTAAAGTGTAAAACTGAGAAATGTACAAAATATGAAAGAGAAACTCTAGAAAGAAAAGTAATATTTTGTTTGTAATTGTTATGGAGGAGGGATACCAGACAAAATATCCAATGTAATAATTTTAGTAAAAAAAAAATTGAGAGAACTTTCCTGTGTCTTAAGCACCTTCACATTTCATACCTAGTACCCCTCCGTGGCTCTTCCAAACGCTTTGGCGCCATCCCGTGGTCATATAGCGTTAATACATAATTCCATCTTAGCTGACCCGTATGACGCTCACCTGAGGCAAAGCCTGGTCACCATGTATTAACTAAATACACGCCACTATTTGAAGGCAAACTGTATTTAGTATTAAAGGATTCGATGACCTGAGTATTTTGCAAAAGGGACCGAGTATTGATGAGCTGCGAAACATTTAACCTCTACTCAAGATGCCTTGAAGAAGCAGGTTAGTCGTCTCGTTTTTCCAGTTTTGCGAAACCAGTATCACTTTCGAATATCATTTTACCGTTTATCACGCATGATATTTCGACAGCCTTGTGACATTTCGGTAACAAATCACCGTAATTTGTTCCATGAACAGTGCCAGTCAACCCATTAGGCGACATACGCGGCCGCCTAGGACACCTTGTTCTGAGGGGGCGCCGACTTAGCAAAACAATTTCAATTTGTCCCGGACGGTGGGCGCCGGCGGCACATGGACTTCGACAGGTACTGCTGATGAACGGTGGGTCTGGCCTAAAATCAGCGACCACAATCTGTCATTTTCGCCGTATCCGTATCATTTTAGCAAAATTTTAATAGCCGTTTTAAAATGTTTTTCTCTTTTAGCCTGCATGGTCAGCAAATCTTAACAAGCGACAGTGATTTCATTTCTTATTATGAACTCTACTGCTCAGTTATTCATCAGCATAATTATGACGATGTGGCATTTGGGAGTTAAACTTCGACACAGCGGAGAGAGTCGAGGACAACTAATGGAATTATATAGCAGTAAAACGCGCAGGTAAAAATCCCATTATCCCGAAGTGATTTGGCCCGTATGGGCCGCCGTCAGCGTCAAAATCGGCGTACGTGTACGACACTGACAGTGGACAGTGTTTGGACTCAACGGCGTCCTACCCGCGTCGGACTAGTAGGGGAGAGGCGATCAGCTTTTCTAAAGTATTGGCGCACGGCACAGGCGGATTTGCCGGGACACCAGTTCCGTGCTGGGATTTCTTTCAACGGCTGTCAGTAAATGGTGTGCGCCATTTCAGAAATGAAAACGTCGCTTGAAGCATAAAGTAACAGGGGGCGAAAAGGAGAAAAACATACATTGTCTTATATCGTCTTGTGCACTGCAAAGGCACATTTTTTAAAACTTCGCATTTTAATACTCTTTAAACTGCATTTTTACTGGATTCTGCGTTAATCTGTTTCACTGCGAGACGAAAGGATTCTTACGTTAAGGCTTTTTCACTTAACTGTGGTTTGGAACCCCGGGACGGCGTCAGTTTCTCTAGCGTGTATCATGAAGCTGACCTGTCCACGGGAAAACATACATGTTAGTAGCCGAGTCGCTTGGAGGAGATGATCATGGCCGTGTGGCGTGCCCTGCTGCTCTGCCTGACCCCGTCCCTTTGCCGCCCCGGGGGGACCATAGGGCAGCAGTGCGACGATGTGAAGGTGAGTCCCACAGTGAATAATCGGGCCGCCGCACGGGCTTCCTCATATTCCAGTTAATCATCCAGTGCACCCAAGATACTTGATCATAACCATTTTATAAACAGTATGGATGATAACATTCCACAGGCATACTGTGCAAAAACTAAAAAAGATACAGAATATATATGTTTGATGCAGATTGCATTAGAGTTTATCCTCTCTTCGTCAGCGTCTGGCGGAGAAAGACCTGATCCCAGACTCCATGCTTAGATGTTCCGGACCATCCTGGCCGGAGCCCAGTCAGGTAGCACCCAGATCCGTGGAGCTGAGGTTTAGTGCTGGTCGTGGGACTCCAGAAAAAACCTGATGCAGTCTCTGTATGTGTTTAAACCATGTGGCGAAAACATGATCTTTCTGCTTACAGATACTCCCCAGTATTGACAGCAGTTACACGCCGCAGGTAGGAAGCGACCCCCTGAAATCCTGAGCCAAACTAAATAATCAGTACAGCCGGCTTGGCAGCTCTTCGGCTAGCAGCTGACGCGGACATTTCATGCGCAGATTGTCCGCTTGGCATGTTTGTGATGAACTGAAAACTTACAAACATGGGGAGCGAACGGGGTGGCTGATGCGTCTTCTTTCCGCCCGCGTGTCGCACAGCCGCCGCTGCCCGTCTGCATGGACTCGCCCATATCTTACAGTCACACCATCCCCAACAGGTGAGGCTCCGTGCACCGCGGCGCCTGCAATAAACGTAAAACTGAAGCTATATTTCTGTACGGGTACCAAAAGTTTCTCTCGCAGTGGGGCTCACCGGCCTGTCGGAGCACGAAGTGGGGATTACCTGTACTGCCCACCGCAGCGCTGGATGCACAACCTGCGGGTGAGGGAGTGCGCATGCGCGCGCAACTGCATGAAATTACGATAATTATAGCTTGTTTGCGGCATCGTATTTTCAAAAAAACTCCCAGAACAACATAGCTTAATTTGACAATGTTTACTGAGTTACCAATGCAGTTGAAATTACCTGTGTGAAGGGTGCCACAGAAAACGAGCCTGTTCTTGTGTTTATTTTTGAAGCATGGAGCCGCTGTGCTGCTGTACCATCCCTGTGCCTCCATTTCCCAGCATTCCCGCCTGTCACTCTTCGCCCGTTCCTGTTTGTCCCATTACATCATCACTCCTTTCCCACAGCTCAGCATACAGAGAGTAAGTCTTTTCATTTGGCTATTTTTGTAGTTACTGCAGTCCGAAAGCAAACAGACCAAGAACAGTCACTGAGTCACACCATCCTGCTTCTCCCGAAGCCACTCGCCATCGTCACCTGGGGGCGTACACTGCAGCTGTCCCATGTAGGTGCATCAGAAGCCTGTGATTGGCTGGGCCAGAATGCAAAAGCAGCTGTCCAGACCAAGGCTAGAGGGAGCTACAGCCTGCTTCTGACACGGCCAGCAGACTCCAGAATGCTCTGGGCCACAGGACAGGAGGACACACAGCGGGTAAGGCAGGCAGGGTCAAAGGTCAGTAACCCACAGCAGATGTGCTTTACCTGAGTCTGGGGCCGCGGCCATCCTCCCCTCAAAGGCTCTGAGGCGATGCTGCTTGGAGACACTCTCCCTGCCTGTGGGGAACAGAACTGCAAGAGGGAAGATGGGGTGGAAGCAAAAGAGGTGGCGAAGGGAGCTGGTCAGCCAAGGAGCAGCAGGAAGTACAGCCAGGGGAGCAGCGAAGGAGAGCAGCGCCACGGGTGGGATGAAGGTCCAACAGCTGCCTGGGCTGGCAGCCAAACCCGAGACCAGGAAGGGAAATCGCAACGCTACAGAGGAGCCGCCACCAGACAATGGGCATGGGGCAGGAAGGGGCGGAGCTAGGGAGGTGGCAGAGCGGCAGGATTTAAAAACGGGGGGAGGAGATAAAGGGGAAGGTGTGAATGGTAAAGGCGAAATGAGAGGTGTCAGTGGGGAGGCAGGGAAGGAGAGCCAGAGGCACAGGGTAAAGACCCAGAAGGAGGCCCCACTACAGCCTGGCAGTCCCCAGTGCGTGGGTGTTCAGGCAGCCTTGCCAGTGGCCAGCAGCGGGCAGAGCCAGTGGGTACCCACCCCGCGCACAGACGAAGCAGCCTGGGCAGCGGCAGCACTGGGCTTCCTGCTGGTACTGCTGACGCTGGCGGTTCTGCACACGCGTCTCTACCGGCACTGGCGTCGCCCACCCAGCCTGTACTGGCACCAGCCCGAGCAGGACCACGACAGCGTGGCAGGTGGGTAGGCCGCCCGCAGGGCGCACGCTGCTCCGCCCCGCCCTTTTATCATCTGTGTCTGTCTCTGTGCCCCTCAGAGGTGATTCGCCGGAGGCTGAAGATGATGGGCCAGAGGAGGAAGAGGACGGCCAGCCAGCGCCGGGAGTACAGCCTGCTGCCCAGCTCCAGCAGCGAGGAGTCTGACTGACGCTCTCCTCTGGAAGGACTCGGACCCTGTGCTCTGCACAGTGCAAACTGCTTTAAACCCTGATATGCACTCCTATGGGAGCATCAGTAAGCTGTGTGCTTACCAGCAGCCCGTATAACTCAGCAGAGATGTAACCGGTTTATCTGTGTGACCATGACGACATGTTCCGTTGGGAGCAGCCCAGCCTTTCTGAGCAGGATGACACCTACTTTCTGTGTAGTGACGTCTTTACAGTGTTTGTCCATGTTGCCATAAAAACAGAGACGACGCCGTTCTCTGTGTTCAGCTCTACGCTGCTCGTTCTAGACCAGCGAGGGCCCAGCCTTGCAGCGAGCACGACACAGGCGTACAAAGAAAGTGCGAATCACTGCCTACATCACCACACGGTGGAGTGGTGGAAGTGCGGGGGGCTTCCAGACAGAGAGGGGGCGTGGGACCTGAGACTCCAAACGCTACGCACACGGAGCCTGGTGTTCAGGCCACATCACAGCAGTAGGAGCTCTGTGTCCAGCCTTTATTCCCACCTGACCCCACTGGGTCGATTGTTGGTATTTTTTAACATCTTTTTACATGTATTTTAAATTGAAAGAGCACAATAAAAGTGTTTCTATAATGTAATCATATATATCTGTAATCATAGCAGATTTGAAATGTACGGCGTCACCGAAGAGGTCATCTCTCATTCAGAGACTGCGTTTTCACCATCCTGCCCCACAAAGGGCCGTCCAAGACCAGCAGAACCCAGTTTGTTAATTTACTGAACTGACCTTCAGGAGGTTTAAGCATAGACCAGGGTTCTTCAAATCTGGACGTCAATTCCAAATCCAGGCCTCGTTTTCAGTTCTCCCAGGTAGTTAGTTTAATAATTACTGATTCTGATTGGTCAGACGCTTCACACCTGGCTGTGATTTGAATAATTGGGGCGTAGACCCTCACCCCTTCGTAAATATTAAAAAGATAATTATGGTATTGAGTTTCTTAAGCTCAATACCCTGTGAGGTGACAAAAATAACGATGATGAGTGAAGGTGCCGGCCTTTGACAAAGGATAACGTGGAATCGCCCTGCGAAAATATACTGGGAAGTCGATAGAAGGAGCCCAGAGGTCTCTAGCGTGGGCTGTTAGAGTGTCTGGGTAATGGAAGGGGATTAATCTGCCCGTGCTGGGGGGTCCAGGGGGCTGCTTTTCCTGAGCACCCTGTGTCGCTACTTCTACCTGCTGTTAGCCTGTAACTGCCATGTGACCTGTGCGGTGCTGTGTCACCCACACAGGTCACATTTTTTACTCCTAGCCAGTTCATGAGTAAAACTCCAGGTGAGATGGGCGTCAACAAAAAAGGCAGAGAAATGAAAAAGCAGCACAGCGCCTCTGAAGCAGACAGCAGGAGGTGTAGCAGTTAAGGAATTTTACCCAGAAATAGCCTGAGCAACATATGCATATAAATAAATGGCGTCGACGGGATAAACCAGTGGGGGGGAAACCGGGCTGTTAAGTTAGTGGTGGTATTTGGATTAACTGGCTTTGGAAGGATCATATTCACCCACAATGCAAAAGGACCCACACTTACAGCCATATAAGACAATTAACATGTTTTTTATTTATTACAAATGTACACTTTGCGTTTCTATTAAGATTTGTTTTTGCTTAATGTTTTTCTTTCTATTTTGTACAGTTTCACTCCTTTTTGAAGCCTGTCTTCCTATCACCGCTTTCCCACATGAAGCGTTTCGAGATCAATGGGCACAGTGCAGTACCGCTGTCTGCGTACAGGTGAAAAGCTCGTTCGGCCAGACGCGTGCTCGCGTGCCTGCTACCCACAACGGGGGACAGTGTGACGGCAGGGGCACTTTCCCAGCCCGCACCCCCACACTGCCGTCTCTGGCTGCCCCTCTGGATTAGCTGGGAAAACATTCAGCTTTTATGGGTTTGAAACATGGCAAACAAAACTGAAAAACATGACGGCTCCCAAATGCATACATAGCTTATTAAAAAAATATCATGAAAATATATCATATTTATATATTTATATGTATATATATGCCTCTATTCAGTATGGGTGAAATCTAGCGAGGTGTAGACTGGGGTATGGGGGGGTTACAATTGGCACCAAATTTGTGATTTGCTACACCAGGTATCACAAGGTGGTTAGGGCCCATCAAAAACACAACCAAAAGGTTTTTTCTTACATGGTCTAACAGGGCAGCAAGTGAAAAAGGCATTTCCACAAAAAAATAACAAAAGGTTTGTTGGCAAACCTAAGTGTAAGTGTGCTGAGCTTAAGGCTTTAACAAAAAATACTGGTACAAACCTATGAAGTGATTCAGTGTAGTAGATCTGAAATGGAGGATTCTGGGAAACCAGCAGTTGGGGGGGGAGGGCTGTGACAGTGCACTGAGTCTGCAGACAGAACTTCCCACAGGATAATCCCCTCCACCATTTCCAACTGTCACAAATGGGACTGGTCTCCAGCAGTGTTTCACAAGATGGTCCTCAGGAACCCCCAGACAGGGAGCAGAAACGTGGGCCATCTGGGGGACCCCGAGGGCCGGCTTGAGAAGCACTGGCCTAGAGAGAGCGCAGAGCCGTGGCCGGCCCTGGGAACGAGGCGCTGCGGTAACACAGGAGGCTGCAGAGGCTCGGCCTGATTCCTGCCACCGTGCCTTTTACTCACATTTTCACGCTGAGGGCCTCGTTAGCTTAGCATCGCCCCAGAGACCCAGCGAGCTTCGAACCTTGGAGTCGCAGTCAGAGCAGGTCAGCCTGTGTCTTCAGGAAATTCTCCCGATTCCTCACAGACTCAGAACCGGCCAGTTGGGGGCAGTTGAGGCTCAAAGATGCGTGTAAAACCATCTCATTCTAGACTAACAGCATTATGCAGGCTTCCAAACAAATGAAAGCTTGTGTTCCACCGGCAGCTGGTTAAAAAAAGCCAGAGTTTGTATGTCAGGATCAGCATCTCTTCCCCTCAGCAGCAAAGAGCCGATCAGATCCAGTCAACCCACTAATGGGAGCATCTTCTTGTTCCCCCATGTCCACCAAAAAAAAACCAAAAAACATGCTTTTGGCCACTGTTAGACTGCTGACGTGTAACCTGGAGGTGTCACGCTGAGCTCTGGGGATCCCCTGACAGGTCAGAGGTCACAGGCCAGTCCAGTCAGAGAGGAGGGTAGGGCAGGCATTTAGCACGTTAGCACTCAAAGTTCCCCTTGTTAGACTGGCTAAGAAATGTACATGGAATAACTGAGAAACAAAACAGATCATATAAAATGACGAGACAATAATAATAATAATAATAATAATAATACAAAAAAATAATAGCAACAATAATAATTCCAGTGTTTTAAGTATTTTTCCATCAGTAATTTTGTCCCAAGAGGTACATATACAAAAATAGGAAAGAAAAAAAAAAAAAAA